AAAATAACTTACCAATAAATCTTCTCTTTAATACACTATTAAATAAAACTAAGAAATAACAAATATATATACATTAACTACACTAGACTACTGATCCAAACCCTAGAAATAAAATAAAATTTAATTAAATCGAAAAACGCGTCAGTCTACGATCGTATTTCCCGCGCTTCCCTTTATGCCAGTTTCAAGATATAGGTTGGGTCAGGGATGTGACATTCTGCATAAAAAAATAGATTTTTTATTAATCGATTATTTTTGTAGCATGAATAATCGATTAATAAATAATCGATTTTTCTTAAAAAAATAATAGTTTTTTTTTTATTAATCGATTTTTTCCTAATTTTTGAATTAATTTAAAAATAAACACCCTAAATATTTTATTTTTCATAGTTTTTTAAATTAAAAATAAACAATAGAAATTATAAACTCAAATTAACGTTTAAGAATAATCAAAATCGAAATTAACTTAATCTCGTTTTGATAGATTTTGATAAATGCTGAGTGTATTCCTTTTCAGTAGCACATTGCAGTGTTTTTGTTGTCTTTTTAATTGTATGTAGTCATGTGCTGCTGAATAAATTTATTTTACTTTAGAATTATAGTGTTCCATTCAAACTTGAGTTTTTGTAAAATTAACTTCTTTTATCATCCTTTTGATGTTTTACAAAAAAAATCAATGTATCGAGTATATCAATACATCTTCAAAGAATCGGATTCAATGTATCGCATTGTAAACATCGTTGTGTATCGAATATCCCTAATAGTTCGAGGTCCGGGTTATCAAAGACCAGACATAATGTCGGGAGGTGGCAGATAAAAAATCGATTATGACTGATTTTCAATTATAAAAATAATCGATTATTTTAAATATAAAAATCGCGTAAAAAAATCGATTTTACTTTAAAAAAAATCGATTTTAATCTAAATTTTGATTATTTTTTCACATCCCTAGGTTGGGAAACTACACGCGAGATAAAAATAAACAAAGACATCTAAAGGAAATAAATGGATAAGCTAGTTAAAAACAAATTATGTACATAATCATATTACATTTTAATATTATTATAGATTATGAAAGAAGATAATACATTATAATACAATAAAGGATAAAGCAAAAGGCTGGAGACTTTAGTCGGAAACTGAACATGAAGTGATTGTAAGGAATTTAGAAAGGAGGTACCTACGGTCATATTGGGAACAAGAAAAGAAAATATGGTCGAGGTCACCAATATCTTCTCCACACTTACAAATATTACTATCAACAATACGAAGCCTTGCTAAATGATAAGTTGTACAAACATGTCCTAAACGCATTCTGGAAATGATAGAAGTGACAGTTTTAGAACTTTTAACCTCAGAGAACCATGGTTTACTGGGGATCCTGGGTTGAATTTCAGCATAATGTTTGCCTTTCAACTTGCTGCTTCTCAACCAAATGTATTGAAATTTGTAAACAATCCGCCATTTTCTACTTTTCTATTGGTTATTAGAGATGTGACGTTCACTTTAAAAAATCGTGTTTTTAATTAATCGATTGTTAATAATCGTTTTTTAAGTAACGGATTTCTAACGGACATTCTGCACTGTAAGACTGTTCACACACTGTTCTAGCAAAATCCACATTCGAAATGGCCGTTTGCGTACAAAAAACTTTAATTTTTTTTTAAAAATACTTAGACGCGTTTCCTGTAGCAAAAATCACTTGGAGGTGTTCCAATGAAGGTCCCCCGAGACTCCTGCATAGTTAGTATCATCAAATAAGTGCGACGACATTTAAAACTGTTACCCAATTTTGTTCCTCAACGCTACTCATGAAACGAATATTTGTTTCCAGAATATCTTGCTTATATCATATCTTATATCCGGGTCAAGAATTAAAGAATTGAATTTTGTCATAAATATGGGTAATGATGGAGATCGATGAATGTTAAAAATTTACGAAAGCTTATTATTAGACATGGTAATGATTTGTGACGCCAGTAACGGGATGAATTAATAATATTGTTAAATATATAATTATAAGTTTTCTATGTAGAGGATAGTTATAAAACTAAATAGATTTGAACAAGAATCGATCACTTAAAAATTGCCTTCTGAATTTTAAAGGAGGATCGCAGCATTCTACTAATTGTAAAGCATTGGTTGGGCTTGATTTCTTACTCTTGTCACAATTCTCAAAGCTTTTGACTGAATGACATCGAGTTTTTGACTTCCCAAGACACTTCCACCATCTAATAGAAATGTGCCATAATCTTATAAGAGCGTTACACAAGTTTCATAGAAAACGGATGAGCACCCCACCATACACCTGAAAGGCCTTTCATGATATTTAGCAGCTGTGCACATTTCATAACATGTTCATAATGGGCAAGTCCAGACAATTTTGAATCCAATATAACTCCTAAAAATTTAATTTTTGTTGTGAAGGTCACATTTATGATAGGAGTTGTGCGTTTTTTGAAAAATACGACTATTGAACTTTTGGACATTGATAGATCTAAGTCATTTTTAACCTACCAGATATTAAGACAATTAAATGAACTAGACATGGAATTAATTGCAAGCCTTATTCACAGATTTATTAACGGAATAAAAAAGAAGATCATCTGCATATTGTAGCACATTTATATGGGAATTTATAAATAATGGGCATGTTTAAGTTGGCATTGATCGAAATTATCGTTAGTAAATAATTATTGTTGAAAAATGTGTAAGGCTTTCGTTTCGTCGTAGATTTGGAAATAATCAAAGTTATTTCAAACTGCTAAAAAAATAAATATAACGACACATTTAAAATATGAATATAATTTCATTTTAAAATTCGGATCTGTAAACAAATTTATTTTACAGGATTATACTTTTGTAAACATTGCAATGGTTTGATTGAATCAAATTTGCGTAAAAAAATGTTAATGAAATAATCAAAATCCAAATTACTTAAAATAAGCGTAAATAGTTTTCAACCAATTAATATTGTTTACCACATTATTTATACATTAATGAGGTTGCTAATTCTATTCAGATCATTTTTTTTTCAACACTGACTTAGCGCACTCTGCTGATGCATTTGAAAACTAATTCACGTTCCAATTAAGCTTCAGCAAATGCGGTATTGTGCGCCACTGAGTAGCATTATGCTCGAATTCTAAATCATATGTGTAAATATTATATAAAAGTGGGCTAAGTACCGAACCTTGGGGAAGGCCTTTAAAAACTGTACGCTTTAACTCAGTACTATTACCATCTTTCTGAACGATTAATGATATGTATCTGCAGGACAGGGAATTGATGATAAAATGTATAAATAACGTAGGAACCTGTAGCTCTAATAATTTGCGTTGTAGAATAGAAATGTTCACATTATCATAGGCGGCAGAGATGTCCAAAAAGGCAGTTACAATGGAGGAGAAAATGCAAAACTAATTGCAGATGTCGCTATCATCGCTTGACCCATAACAATACGCTGTCAGTTTTCAGCAATTCTTACGTAAATCTTAGGTACGATTTAATAAATCTTAAAAGGTGTTTGTTTACAAGTGAAATCTGCTGAATAATATATTCGACATGGACTGTTCCATAATTAAAAGTAGGTAGAATTGAAGACCCGGGGCGGTTCTTTAAAAGAAAGAAAGGCAGATCTTGTCACGAAGTAATCACATTGGATATTTTTCAAAATTCATTGAAATTTTTTTATGAGGATATGGATGAAGAATTTTATCAATTATATGTTAAAAGTATTGAACAAATTTATGTGGAATATTTTAAAAGGCCCTACTTAATAAATATATTTTTAAGATATACTAAGAAACAATAAAACCCACTCATTACTTTGAACTTATATTTTACAATTCCTTTTTTTTAAATTACATAGCATAACACCAGGTTGAATCCACGGTCAGCCATTATTGCATCTTTTTCATCAACAACAGCTAAAGGCGGAAATACACTTCCGTGTCGTGGCGTGTCGTGATGCTTACTGTCGTGACGGTGAGTGTGCACACTTACGTGTCGTGTCGTGGCGTCCTCTGGCGTTATTTCTGAACAGTACTTAACAAACCTTTGCAGCGTTCAAACATACATAATGTTTTCGTCTGATTCGGATAGTGATTTTGAATAAGACCTTCAATTTCTCTTAGCAATGAAACTTCTTAAGAGCAAAAAAAAAAGAAAAGATACTGGGTTCACCCTATAAACAGAGGGAGACAAGACAAAGGTGAATTTCATCGTCTTGTTAAAAAATTAGAGAGTGACGAAGAGAAATTTCATATCTGCTAGATGTTCGCGCCATGAGCCACGCGCCGGTATAGAAACACATTTGCCTGTTGTGTCGTGTCGCGTCATAACCCCCACCACCGCTCTGGCGCAATCGGTGGCGAGCGACATGCAAATATGTTTCTAATCATATTAAATGTATAAACCAATATGCTTCTGGCGCGTCACGACACGCCACGACACGTAAGTGTGTTTCCGCCTTAACAGGGAACTTCTCTCAGTTATTTGTCGGTCACCGGTAGAGCCTGCATATCCTTATAACTCAATTGAAACCACTTACATACGTCGTACATATAATTTACATTAAAAAAAAAATTATGTAATATTATTTAACTGCATATAAGTAATAGATTTTGTTTCATTGAAAGTTGATTCCTGGACCAGGAAGAAGGTTGCAGGTAATTAAACACAATTTATAAATAAATGCCACCTGTTAGAAATGGTGCGATAATGATTTTACTATAAGTAATGCGACCGTTATTAGAGTATGTACTGATAGTGAAAAAGTATGTCACGCGAACAAAATGTCATAAAAAAACTACAAGAAAAATCGTTAAGAAAATGAGGGTAGGCCGTTCTATTTTGAATACATTTTCGAGAAATGAAGGTAGTAATAAATTTTTGAAACTAATTTAACCTTTTAGTGCTTCATTCAGCGACTTGAATTCAGCGAGGCACATTACTAGTTATCTCTCCTTAATCCATTACTAAGTATTAAAAAAAGAAGAATGTCTGACTTTGAGTCTTCAGATTCCGAGTATGAAACGGACCTAGATGTTTACTCGAGTGGTCCAGGATTACCGTTTAATCCGAGTATGATCGAAGACCTTATTCTGTCTATCACAGATAAGTTTAATTTTCGCGTGGTGATGAGCGATAGAAGAGTAAAGAATGCGGTGCTGGTGACCACTGGTCTATCAGTCGCTGGAGCGTTAATTGGAAAATATTATGGTGGGAAGACAGGTGCTGTTGTTGGGGGTGCCGTCGGTGGTGCGTGCGGGCTTGGAGTTGTTGGTATGTGGTAAAATTATAACATTTAAAGTTTTTAAAATTAAGACAGACAAAAGTTAAGAAAATAAAGAATGCATGTAGCACAATCGTCCCGATATGCGTACCTTTTAAGGCTGCTTTGCAATTTTAATTTTTATAGGACAAACTACCCCGCGTTTTACGCGCGTTATTTTGGTGGTAGCCTGAGATTTCGTCGGTCGTCCCTGAGATGAGCTCTATAATACTTAAAATTAAGACATTGAATTTCTAGAAAACAGTTATCAGTTAACTCTCTTAAAAAATGCTTTTGTTTTACACTTACAGCAGTCACCATGAGAGAAATCTGGCAAGAGATAAAGGGGAAACTGCCTGAACTATATGAAATGGTCTATGACTACCTAGCTGGTCTGGGTTTTGATGATTATCAGAGAGCAATGAAGTTTGTTTTTCAGCATAGTGGTGCTACTACTCAATTAGGTATGCTCATATTGCAGATCACTTCTGATACTTTAGGTAAAAAGATTATTTCTAGCTTAACAGCTGTTTAGTATTACATGTTAGCTTTGATAGTTTACAACCAAGGATTTTGTGTTATTGATAAATTATGATTGTTAATGCTACAATATAATTGAAATTAAGAATTATATTAAAATCAATGTATCTAACATAGGTATTTTTTAGATGAATGACCATGACATACAAAAAAAATAGAATAGGTTTTTTGTATTTGAATATTTTAAATTTAATAATTGACTGTTGTTTTTTCTATTGAATATTTCTAGATCTGTCTTTTCTTCTTTCCGTTGTTTACTGTTAAATTTTTAAAAATTGTTAATTATTTCTGTTTTTATTATTAACTTTATTTGATTTTTATAATAATTAAAATAGAAACATTTTAATTAAATTGTAATAGATTTAAGATTATTGTGAAATAAATATTATAATGAAATAAAATGTGTTTTGATATTTAAACTTAGTGTTTTATTTCTTTATTCTAATTTTCCATTATATAGCGCACCTATATTGCATAAATTTCTTTAGGCTTCTATGTATACAAGTTGTTACACACTGTTTATTGTTCCTGCTTTAGGACTTTATTATTCATATTTCTATATTAATGGTTAAACATAATTCATCCCAGTATAGATTGATCTGGTTTGTCCGGTTCAGTATTTATTATTGTATTCATATTTTCCATCAAGAAATCAAGGTCTTCCTCTTCTTCCATATCCTCTTCTTCATACATTGGCCCTAAAAGAACACATAATATTGAAATAAGAATGCTTAACTTTATAATTTATAGACTATATACTAGGATGTTTACTAGGGTTTGGCAGAAAAAATCCTGATATTCTGGATGTTGACAGGCCACATACATCCCTAATATAATATATCAGATTTAATTATTGGTCTGGCTAAGAAAGAAGCAAATTAGGTCTTACCAAATATTGAATTTGAGCAAGTCAAATTAAGTTCTTCTTCATTACAAGTAGTTGTCAAGGTTTCCTCATATACAATCATATCCCCACTGTTTGGTTGTTTTAAATTTTTCATTATGTCAATTAATGATGTGGAAGGCTCATTTGAGGTGGATTTATTAGTCTTTTGTGACCCTTGAGTGCGCTGCATTTTTATGCTTTCTAAACTCAATCTTTCAATCTGGAATGTAAATAAACAGTAACTGCGGTAATTAAACATGAAAGTAAGTTCTTACTTTGTTCTTACGCACTTTATTTGTAACCCACCTGGAGAGAGTTTCTTTCCTTTTTAACTAACTGTAGAGCTTTAATAATCCATCTCTCTTCAGCTAAGAGTTGAGTTTCTTGGGCGATTTGCCACTGTAATTTGGACATTGTTATTTGTTTTATATAATGTCAAACGTGTGGTTATATTTGCTCGTTAATAGATTGTTTGTTTTAGTTCTACTCATTTACGGGCTTAGTGCTTACGCATTACAGCCCGCACTCAATCAAACGTAAATCTAAAATCTAAATTCTAGATGATGATTGATATTGATGATATTATTTATCCCTAATGGGAAAGGCAAAGGACTTTAGTCATTAGTTCAACGTAAATCTAGAATAATATAACAGTTTACGTTTGTCAGTTTTTAATGAAATAAAAATAGTGTTGTGTTTGTCACATGATTTGTGAATGATTGAAAAAAATCCTAATTAATAAAATTGCCTCGATTGCCTAGTGAATAGTTAACGTTGCGTACTGCCGATATCGGATACGGGTTCGAATTTTAGTCGTGCTTTGAACATACCAACGAGTTTAGTACTAAATACCAATTGTTTTTAACATTAAGGAAATCATTCGAGGAAACTTGTAAGACTGTCCTATTCTCAATATATCATGTAGTTTATACTATAGATGTTTAATAATATAACAATTATAGGTTGGTAATGAAAATAATAAAATCCTTATTACATAATTTGTTTTTATTCATCATCAGATAAAAAATCATCACTATCGCTTTCGGTGACATTAATAATAAATCTGTCTGAAATTGTCGATCATGTCGTCGAGACCATACATTTTATCTTCTTCTTTCATTATGTGAGACTCGCAGCTACGCCATTTATCAGGTGTGATTAGTTTAAGTCCTTCTTCAAAAAGTTTTTTACTTCTGTCATTTTGAAGGTTTTATTATTTTTTGCAACATATCCTTTAGCCTCCCCATACCAACTCAATGGATTAAGCTCACATGGTATGGGGGCAGACTAAAACAATTATCTCATGCTCGCTGCTATCTCGTCCACAACATACTTTTCGAAATGATCTTGTTTGTGCTGCCGTACAATGTCTATAAGAGTAGCTTTAACCATTGTTGCTTCGAATGAAATATTTTTGCTCGTTAGCCACTCTTGTATTTTAGGTTTAGTCCAAGACATTTTAGGCAGCGATTCTAGTTTCCTGGAGTGGTAGGGGGCATTATCTAGCACTAAACGGAATTTGGTTTTAGTTTTGGCAAGACTCCACTAAACCACTTCTCAAAGGAATGGCATTCATTTCTTGCTGATAGTCTTCTTTACTTTTTTGGCTTCAAATATTAGTAAGCTGTCTTCTACGAATCCTTCTTCCCCACCTATGTGGCCGATAATTAATCGTTTGCCCTTTCCTGAAGGCTGTTTTAAGCCAGTAGTCAGGCCATCTAGGAAGGCCTGGCGAGTCGATAACACTGTCTGGTCAATCCATCCTTCTTCGTCATGACCTACAAGATAATGAAAAATAACAATTAGTTAATGAAAGTACAATTTAATGTAAAGAAAAAGAAAATTGTAATTACCTTCGTTGATCCAGGTTTCATCTTGGTAATAAATATACCTTCCTTCCCTTCGATACTCTTTAATTTTGCGAAGGTATCGCTGGCGCCATAACATAATGTCCTGTCTGTCAATTAACATGCTTTTTCTTGATTTTGTGACATATTTGAAATTTAAATGTTTCATAACATTTCTTAATGTACTCCAAGAAAAATTGGGTAAGTCTGGGTCTTCATTGACAACCTTAAGAATCTGTGAAGTAATAAAAAACGTTTTTGAGTAAGGAAGTCTACGCAATCTAATACTTTGGTTTTACAAAGATCATTATTGTGGACACAGAATATAATGCAGTCGATGGAATAAAGTTTGTTACCTTTATAATGGTGGGTGACTCATTTGCATAAAAAAATTATGAACTTTTCGCCTTATAGGGCCAAAGTAAAATCGTCTAATTTATCTTTGAAATTGTGTTTCGGTCCACGTTTCTCAGGAGACTTAAATTGTTCATTTTCTTTGTATTCTTTTAATACACTGTAAACTGAGGTCACGCTAATTCCCAAAATGTCAGCTGTTTTCGAAACACATTCTTTTTTTCGGGAGCCTCAATAGGTAATAGTAAAGCAGCTTTCTCCTCAAATACGTGTTTGTAGACGTTTTGTATCATAACTTTTTCGGTAACGCTTAAAGCAATCCGTGGTCTCTTCTTTCTTGGAGACAAGCTTTGGCTTGACGTGCTTGGTTGAGGATCCATATCGTTTTACGAAACAATATAGAAATAAAAAAAAACAACAATAACCACAAACACAACGTAATGAAAAATTAACAAAAACTATAACTAAACAGCGTGACGCAGAAAAAACATTCGTGCTATCAGACCAGAGGTTAGAAGCCGAATGACAAACAAAATGGCGACCGACGCGCGCGGCGTCGATCGGTGTTGGCACTAGTCGCCTCGCCGCGCTCTGTATTACAGCCGTCAAAAAACTGATTGTAGTTACATACTACTAGTACCTAACTTATATCAGAAATCTTTTATACAATTTTAAAATAGTAATAATATTATTTTATAGTTTGAAATGATTAACTATTCACACTCACTCATTGTTCATTCATCTGATTGAACAAGAACTGAATGTATCACTATTACTTTAAATGTGGCAACATTATTTTACTAAGTGACATTAGCTACTGTCAGATAGCTTCGTCTAATTAAAAATTCGACTATAGTTTCAAAAGCTGTCAAACCATTTTTTCTGTTTGAACTATTTGACAGCGCTCAAAACGAGATTATGACTTGAGGCACGAATTAGAAATGGACTAAGTGGTAAGTTTACTTCTACTCGAGTCTTGTTATGTGCAATGTGCATCTAAAAACATGTAAATGACTAATTTGTAAATAGCATTCACAACCGTGCAGGCCAAGAAAGGGAAAAAAATAGCATTCACGAACATAAGTGTAGCTTGACATATCGACCACAGTCCAGTTATATTTGTAAAATTGTATCCAATAATGTTTTGCCCTCTGTGGTTTTTTACTAATCTAGCAACTCGGAAGTCGTTTTTTAAGCAAATCGGATTGCGAAATTTAATAAATGATTAGGCCTGGGACCTAGAGCGGCTAGGTCTGTAAATCCGCCTCTGCCTAAATTCATATATATTATAAAGCAATGGATTAAGTATCGTGCTGACAAATGTATTTTTGAAGTTATACTTCTTTAGGCGCGTTATGAAAAATTGATGAGAGTGAAATTTTACGATGCGCGCGCACCTGAGACACAAAGTTGTCAGTGTGATTATAGCGTGCGCGAGCGAGATGGGAATAAGACAATCTACAAGTAAAAAGAAATAGAATCTTCGTGAAGTTAGCAGCTATGCCAAGAATTTGGAATGAACATAGTGACATTTACTTTTTAAACAAATAAAGCAGTTAAATTATTTTTTCAAAGAAATTTAGCAATGCTTTTTCACAAAGACCTATTGTTACTTAGTTAAAAGGTTTTGTAGTTATTAAATTGAATGAATAAGATATAATAAATATAATAAATAATAATAATTATTATTAATATTAATTAATAATTGAATAATATACTAAATATTAAATATTATTAAATTATTAACGTTAAATATTTGTTATTAATTATTTAATATTTAAAAAAAATAAAGAAAGCCAAAGAAGTATAACTTCTTACGCGCGTACATAAGTACACGCACCCTTTTTTTTAAGTTAATACATCAACATCGCTGCACTTACCATCCAAAACTAAAAAACAAAAAGGGTAAACTAACTAGCTTAGTCTTAATAAAAAACGATAACATATTAACAAAGAATTTAATAAATTCTGTCTTAAGTATACACTTTATGTATTTAGTAATGTTTATATACAACTGGGATTAGACACAAATCGGCGCGATAAAAGAATACAAAACTTGCATGAAAGAAATATTACAATATTTTCTTTACTTGAACATTGATGTTACAAATTTTTATTATGTATCGTAGCCAACTTCGATAGTCTACTTTGCCGGAAAGCAACGTCCATTACTTTTAGATATTCCTAACAAAGTAACATACAACTTAATTTGTATCATATAGTGCAGATAAACGACAAATTTTACACACTATATTCGTCAATCCATTTAGTGCAATAATACATATAGTTCGCTGGGGAAGTCTAACGGTGAATGTTACTGGGAAAAAGTAGAAAACATGGTGTACATAAATTTATGCTCCAAGCTAGGTCAAGATTCATAGAATTGACGAAAACTGTCTAGTCTTTGTACGCGTTAAAAATATTATGTAGAAATTAAACTTTTTTCGATTTTACAGTTTCTCGTAATATCTAATCGTATCACAAATAAAGTTAAAAATTGAAAGTTTTTTATTAATGTAAAGGTGGTCGATATACCTGATAGTTTTCGTTTAATCGATGGAACTTGTAGAAATTCGTCTATACGGAATTTGGAGCTATATATTTCGTTCACAGCTAGACACAAGCGACTTAAATTTGAGTTTTGGTATTAATATTACTTTTTTTAGACAACATGTACCTATGTCCAGTATACAAGACATGAATAACCATATAATAATTTTTTTTTATTATTCTAAGGAAGCTTTAAAAGACAAATAATTAAAACACTTTCTAATGACATATTTTACCATTCAGTCTTTCCATAAACCATTCAAATATCCAAAATAAATATTTTTTACATCTTTAGTGAGATTAAGCATTTTACAGCGATATTTACAAATCCAGTTTCGAGCAAAATTGTCTAAGATGTCAGGTTTCTTCGTCTGTTTTGATGTTCTTATTTGGAGGGTTAAATTTATAAATAGTTTATTAACAAACTATATTTTCTCATTTTTTCAATAAAAATAAAATCAATATTTTAAACCATTTTGCCCAAACCCTTCACGTCCGTAAGCGAAATATATATAATTCATACAATTCGAATGTATTTCATAATTTTGAAAATAATTTGGCTGGTAGGAAGACGCCTTTTAAAATAATGGTAGAGAAAATAAAACTTGTATACAACAAAAATTGTACTTTCCTCTACGTCAAACTCTTCTAACTTCTTCGGAACCAAAATTTTCTGTCAAACATTCATTGAATCAACTTCCACTGGCAATATGAGTAGTCAATTACACAAGTCAACGTCAAAAATCCGTGAAAGATGACAGATGACAGGACATGTGTAGGCCTTTCAAGGCCGCTTAGCCGTGAATAAAATCAGAGTAAAACTATCTTGCTACTTTGTACCATGAATTCAAAGCAATGTAAAAATAAATAAATAAATGTACCTCTTCGGTCAGCGGTTACGTGACTAACAAAACAAGGTGAAAATGTGTGACGTCCGTAATGCAAGCCAAAGACAACATAACTGGTGTAAATATGGTGTAAAATGAGTTGGTCTATATGGTACCTTTATCACGAACAATATAAATAGAACGATGCATTAATGTATGGACAACATCATGTCATTATCATGGGAATACTAGACGAAACTTAAACTTCGTAGCTGAGATGGTTTACTTAAAAGGTGAAATACCTTGGTAGATTTGTTTCTAGATAATCAACTAAGGACTGACTCGGCCGTCTAACACGGTTTTAAATCAAAATTTTTATTTACAATTTGTACTTTTAAGGGTTATAATGAATACGTTAATTTAAGAACCAGTTGTCAAGATGTTATTTTCGTTACGGCGATGTTAAAATGTCTGTGGTTACGTTATCGTAATTAAACGAAGAACCTAAGGATGCAGAAACTTTAAATGGTTGATAAATTTTACCATTACTTTTAACTAGAATTGATAAAATTAACTATGGGTTTATAGTGTAATACCACGTTTTATACGAACTTTTATATATATACCTGTCATAAATAATACTATTTCATTTAGAAGCCTTAATTTCCCTGCTCTACGACTCCTGCACAATTGTCATACGAAATCTATCAAATATGATTGTTTAATAACATGACGAGATTTATTTCGTATTCGCGGCATACCGAAAGCCAGTTGTAAAGTGTCAAAAATGTGACATCAAATCATTACTATAGTCAGCGCCACTACTGGACTAAACCTGGAACTAAATTTGTCGTTACAGTGAAATATTATTTTATTCGTTTTAAGGTAAAACATTAGAAGCAAATCTTGGAGACTAGTTCGCGAATTTCATATTAATTTATGTTATGTTGGGGTAAAATAGCCTTGCACTTAGCACTAGCAACATATTACTACGCTGCGCTACTTGCTAGCGCCGCGTCTATCGGCATTCAGTGGTGGCGCGGACTTTACGTTAGATCTCAAACGCCATACATATAATATTAAAAGGCCGGAAACGTATCCGTTATCCTATCGACTTTGCAGGTAATTTTTAGTGTTAATAAAATGTATGACCAAACATACGATGACAGTCGAAACAAGATTGATATTTTACTTCTTTATGAAACGTTCAAAGTAATAATGAAAGAATCTGGCTAATACTGGTATTGCCATGAGTTAAAAAATTTTATACTATTATTTTTAAACGTAATAAAACATAACAGACTAAATCTTTTTACTACACATGCGAATGCATAAGTACACATACGTTAGGGCGATTACACATATAAATCATTAATACACATCACTATCGTTCGCAAGACGTATAGAAGAGAATGTAGGCGGCGCTAGACTTGACTTCACTTGGGGAAATCTCAGTCACTAGGTGATCGTCGTATTTGTACCATCTGAAAGAAAAAAATCGCACTTTAGCAAGATTTTTGCGCACCAAAATTTTTAAAAATATCACGAAATTTCCTGTTTATATGATAAGGGAGCGTTCAAGTATTACATCACGCAATTTTTGGGGATTATTGAACACTCATTCTTTAAATAAAGTAAATATTTATATCAACTATTAATTTTGATAATAATTACGATGATTATAAAAAAGTTAATATGTACATTAGACTTTATTTCACAATCTAAATGTAGTATTAGATTTTTCTTTAAATTTAATTTTTTAAGTTTAATATCAATGTTTAATAATAACTAAAATAATTAAAGTTTGTAATATACTATATAATAATATATTTTGAAATATTTAACATTATTGAATACAGTGCATAAACTTTAAATTAGTGTAGTAAGAAGTTTTCAATTCAAAAAATATAATTATATGTAAATAAAATCGATTAATTTCATCTAATTTTAAAATTGAATTAAATTAATCTACTATTTAACTTTTTTGCACATCTATGTTTTTTTTAATACAGAAAATGATCAAATACACATTTATTTCAACTATATACACTGTATAATGCTTCCTATCTCATTTTCTCCCACGTTAAATCTCAAGAATTTAATTTAATTTCGTCTGTCTCTTTTTACTGTCGCTTTTTCGTTTCATCGAATTTCAAATCACAACGAAGCAAAATAAGTTTTCACTTCAAAAACAATTACGTATACTAATTAGATGAATTGAAAATGAAAAAGTTTTATTTGCTTAGATTGATTCATAGTTTGAAACTAGGGAAATCGCTGAATTATTAGAAAATTGTTAACTTACTTTCCATAAACACTGCTTTTGCAATACGCGGTATAGTGTCCACCTTCCATAGAGCCATAATGATTGGACACAGCGTATAAATTATAAACGGGGTTGCCAGGGCAATTCAAAGAAAATTGCCGCATATCCAAGTTTTCAAGTGGAAAATCTATGTATGTCTGTCTCTTCCTAAACGCGTTGCAATACTCCTTGGGGTCAAGGTAGAACCTCTTGAAATGTATGACTAAGACCGGGGGCAACCGGGATATATCTAGTTTTTTGACAGCGTCCCGTTTTTCCTTACAATTCGGACAATTCCAACCGGGTATCGTTTCGCCGTTTAAGTAGAGTTTTAGGCAATCCTGGAATATATATTTTTTTTAGATAATATCGATAGTGGGCTTATGTACGTATATACATCTAATACAGATACCGGCAAACATCTCAGACAAATGTCGTTGCCTGCGCAGAAGCGATTTTTAGGTATCACTTCGGTGGTGCGCGGCTCACGTGATTTATAAATCAGTTGACGTTTGTGTCCCGCGTTGCGCAATCTTTCCGCCACTACCATGTTTAATGTTCAAGATGTTTGCCGGTATTTGTAATGTAAATTTTTTTTTTGCCTTAAACATTTTTTAAGGCTGCAGCAAACGGGCTCATCTGATACAAAGTCGCCAGAGACTCACATAGCCGGAGGGCTCGCAAGTGCGATGCCGGCCTTTTAAATTTGTAATGTATTTACCAAGACGAACGATTTTCAACTTACACCTCACTTAATTATTCTGTCGTCTATTATAGCCTATTTAAGTTAATAAACAGTTATAGTCTATCATAGAATAGTGACTTTTACTTAATTGAGTGGACTACTTACTAGTGCTTAAAAAAATTGTTTATGAACGTATCACTAATGTTAAGTTATATGCAAAGATACGCATTCGTATCTTAACGCATCAATATTGATACATAACGCAGCCATACAGGGAGTATCAGTAGCTTTAAAATATAATTAATTTGTAATAATATGGTTTTAGGTGTAAAATAATCTCAAACTTACACTAAGCGTACATCGTGAAGCATGCGGCGGTAATTCCAGTGACAGATTGGAGAATGAGTCATACGTAGCACTATGCGTTGCGCATACGCAGCAGCGCACTGTTGATTTAATCTGCCCATAGAATAGTCGTAGCACCAGACTTTCCTTGGATTTCGTGTATTCGTGCCAGGCGCGTTCTGATGCGCCTAAGTTCTCCTATGAATTGAAAATTTATTTTAATATTAAAGAATGTGTTTGACGTTGTAAAATGTTTCTAACAGAATTTCTCTATATACAATTAATGTGATAAATATATTTCGGTTGTTTAGTGTTTCAATAATGGTTCAACGATTCGTTCGTTCGATTCGAACGGTTCAATAATGGAAACAATATCTACAGGCTGATAAAAAAAGAGTAATAAAAATAACAATAAACAGAGAAGAAAACTAATTTCTACCAAATTACATAGGTACACATCTAACTAAAGAAATATATTATAGATATTTCTTTAGTTATATTAATTATCATTAGATTATACAGGATTATACAGGATGATTGGTATCTTTGTACTGTTAGTTTATTGATGTTTTAGAAATAATATATTATTTAGAATAACACGCATTTTTGGCTGACTCATTCATTGAGTTTACTATTATTTTTATTTGTGTAAATAACTGAAATATGTAGTATTGTCTTTGATTAACATAACTTTTATTCATTTAATAAAACACTATTTTGGTCACCGTGACCACGCACGCTGTAAAGCACGCGAAACGTCGGATAAATTTAAAATTATGTTAAATAGTTGTAAATTTATAACAATACATAACTTCAATCCGGTCAAAATAGTGTTTTATTAACTGAAATATGATTTAGAAGGAAAACTTCAGTAAAGAGAAAAAATACATAACTACGTCACAGCAGTAAGCTTACCACATAACACCGGACACGATAACATTGACCACGCACGTCTAACATCAGCCTACGAATATTAAAAAAAGATGTTTTTCGACACAAATGATTAAAATAGCGTTTGAAGATGTGTAGTAAGCTTGCCGCTAGATACGGAACTTTTTATAGTTTCACAAACTTACCTTTAGTGGTGGTTTAATTGAGAACTGAAGATCTAAATGTAACCAGTCCATGAGGATGGTGAGAAACTCGTGCGAGTCCTGTTGTTCGCTGCCACGAAATGTACGCTGGTGTTTCCCTACTTCGTTCTAAAAAAAATACATTTTAATACTAAAAGACTGAAAATCTTGACTTACACATTTAAATTAACTTTTTAAATGGATATAAATGAGAATTACATTAGACTTTAGCTTTTTATCATAGTCCGCGAGAAACCACCATCCAGCTTTTTATGGGATCTCGCTGTTGGCCTGAAGGGGCCTTGTTAGTTCAGCTGGGGCTATTGAAGGCTCACCCTGGCGGAAATGGGCTTTTCGCTCGACTAGTACAAGGGTGTCTCCTGCTAGACTTGGACCTCGGTTTGCGCCCTCATGGGAGGACAATCGCCTGAAGGGCGAAACGGAACCTCTTCTTCACCAGTGCAGGCGGTTTTTGTTACCTTAGTCTGAATAGGCTATTAATTTGTGATTAGCTAATCATTCAGATCCGTTACTATGTGTCGGGGCCTACTTTTTTGTCGGGAGTAGACAGATAACAATTGATATTACCAATAGAGCTGCGGGAAAAGATGTAACTGTATGTATGTTTAAAATGCAAGCTGCTTCAGCAAGCAGTGATGGCATAGTGGCTTCAGCGTGCGAATCTCATACCTGAGGTCATAGGTTTGATCCCTGGATGTGCACCAATGGACTTTCTATGTGGGCATTTAACATTAGCTTGAACGGTGAATGAAAACATCATCGTAAGGAAACGTGCTTGCCTAGACCCAAAGGCGGGGGGCGGGGGGGAAAAGCCCGGGCCCCCCCCCCCCCCCCCCCCCCCCCCCCCCCCCCGGTTCCCCCCCCCCCCCCCCCCCCCCCCCCCCCCCCCCCCCCCCCCCCCCCCCCCCCCCCCCCCCCCCCCCCCCCACCCCCCCCCCCCCCCCCCCCCCCCCCCCCCCCCCCCCCCCCCCCCCCCCCCCCCCCCCCCCCCCCCCCCCCCCCCCCCCCCCCCCCCCCCCCCCCCCCCCCCCCCCCCCTCCTTTTTTTTTCCCCCCCCCTTTTCCCCTTTTTTTTTTTTTTTATATTTCTCCCCCCCCCCCCCCCCCCCAAAACGGGGGGGGGGGGGGGGGGGGGGGGGTTTTTTTATTTTTTTTTTATTTTTTTTTTTTTTTTTTTTTTTTTTTTTTTTTTTTTTTTTTTTTTTTTTTTTTTTTTTTTTTTTTTTTTTTTTTTTTTTTTTTCCCCCTTTTTTTTCCCCCCCCCCCCCCCCCCCCCCCCCCCCCCCCCCCCCCCCCCCCTCCCCCCCCCCCCCCCCCCCCCCCCCCCCCCCCCCCCCCTTTTTTTTTTTTTTTTTTTTTTTTTTTTTTCCCCCGCCGCCGCGCGCACACCCAAAAAGTCAACGGCATAGTCAGGCACAGAAGGCCGATCGCCTACTTGCCTATTATATTGACAAATGATCATGAAATAGATACTGAAATCTGAGGCCCATGCCTAAAAAGGTTGTAGCGCCACTGATTTATTTTATTTTGTATACGCGCGCAAGTTCTATAATGTATGACATTCTAATTTTGCCACCTTTCTTAATTTTTATTATAAATCCCAATTTATCAAATGATATGAAGAAGTTAATCAAACTGTTAATAATTATTATTAATTGAATCTATATATCATTACAATAACATTTCATATTAAATTTGTCTTACCCTTAGATCTTTAGTAGCGATAAACCTATACTGTCCGGACCATAACCCTCGCACAACCGCAGCCAATTCTTCCGCTATCGCACCGCGAGTGCTGTGTGATCTGAAATAAATTTAATTTTAATCATATTACAACCGTTCTCTAATTATAAAACAATATATCTTGCAAGTCATAAGATACTTTCCACGGATTTAAAGGTAGGTTTCAATAGACCTACCGCGAACTATGTTGCCTTATGTCTAGTAGACTTCTCATTGAACTATCCTTAACCAAGACTCTACTAATAGCAGAGCAGTGTATTTTAACAATAAACATTTAAATATTTAATATTTTTTGTGCAGCACTAGCGCGCGACTCTCAACATTGAGGTCGTAGGTTCGATTCCCGGCTGTGCACCAATGGAATTTCTTTCTATGTGCGCATTTACCATTCCGTCGAATGCTGTTTCAGTCGATCGAGCCGTTTATTTATTTTATTTTTAATACATTATTCAGAAAAACCAAATTTAGTTTTTTCTATCACATTATTTTTACACTGTGGTGAAAAGAGACTTTAGATAAAACGGTGCAATTATATATTGTGTTCTTAAGTATATTTAAAAATATTTTTATTTAAAAAAATTGTCTCACCTATTAACGTGTTCTAGGTACTGTCCATTGCAGAAGTAGGTGACCAAAATGGCGGTATTGTTGAGGCATTGAATAATGGAATTCATATAACAGGTATTACCCAGGTTTTTCAGGCCAGTCAGACCTCGACCCTATGAAATACATTGATTTGAAATCATAATATCATAAATACATAGTAATATATAAACGTATTATAAAACAAATAGTATAATTTTATATCTAGGTATCCTGTACTTGTAACATATATTTTTATTTAGTTAATATTTGTCCCTTTATTATTATTCTTTTAGTACATGAGTTTCTGGACCTGCATACCAGCTACCGTGGACTTAATCATTTTAATAAATATATAAATCTTTGTCGTGGCAATTAAAACTGAAATACCTGTAGGTAATTTTGCGCACATTTGTTGGTTAAAAACTAAAACTTTGAAACCTTTCGAATATTTCGGTAATCCTTCCGATAACTTACTGCATATTGGCAAACTTCATAACAAAAAATAAGAATAATTATTGTAACGAGATTTGAGATCGCTTTCTACGAGATTAAAATATGAAAAAGGGTATTAAACTAAAATCTAATCTGGGCCCCTGTAAAACATGGTTACATATACAGGGTGGCCAAAAAAGTCGTGGATGAAATGCAAATAGGGGATAGATGAGGTCATCAGCTGCAAAAAATTGTTCTACGGGAGGTCTCTAAGCTAAGAAGATATTAGAGCGACTCATGGCCATGGGTAATACCTTTTCAGAATCCCTATTTAGTCATATTTGTATACAGGATACACAAAATGACACGTTTGACAATAGTCAAGACGAGAAGAATAACAAAATTTGTTACCTTTGACTAATTTTACCACATTGTCATTTGCAGCGAAAGAAAACTTAAAACATTACAGTTAATCTTTTTCAAGGCGAATTTACGCATCCCCCGCACCAAAAGTGACAGGGTATTTGCGTGTCATCTGTCAACGTCACCAAAGGATGGTAATTGAAAACATAATTTTGTTTATAGCGAACACATAGGAAAGGCCTTACGTGAGATTACACGACGTTCAGCCCGACCTTAACCTTTCGTAAACTGATTTACGTCTAGATTCGTTATAGCTTCTAATATACTGCGAGGGTTAAAGCATAATGCTTATGTAAGGTATTTACATAGAATATATTATTTTTAATAAGCTTGCAAACATTGATAAAACAAATAGAAGTTTCAATGTGACAAGTACTTATAGTCAAACGTCCATTTAAAAATTATTTCAATGTATGAATTTACTATGGACAACCAGAGCTAGCTTGGTAATCAGAATGCTCAATCTGGATATCGTTTTTCTGTTGGGAATTAAGGGGTGACGGGATGCCTTGACTATGTAGAGGGTACACGAAATTTAAAATTAATTAAAAACTTAAAGTACTTTGACAACACAATTTTGTAAATGAGTTCCTTGTTTACCATACATAAATAAAACAACTAATCGTACCCTACATTTCTTTATACTGCTTATATATAGTCAATACGTAGGGTCAACATAAAAATTATAAACCTAAGTATCGGCTACTTTACTTACACGTTTGAAAAGCCATATGATTCCATGTGTGACCTTGAGTCTGACCTTCACTTTGAACACCATGCTAACTGTCTCCAGCCGCATTCATAGCTGCTTTGATAATTTCATTGTTACAATACAAGAATATTAAATTTGCAGACTGTACTTATTCAATTTTAATAAGAAATTTATTAAAAAATCATTGATGATCAAACATATTATTTAGTACTTACACGTTGCCATTGAAATTTCAAAATACGGTTCTATATTTTGATAGAGGAAAAATTAGCACGAGAAGAACTATTAAATACAGCATGAATATGGTCGCAACTACACTTACAAACATTTATTTAAAAAAATTGCTATACTTTTTAATTTCAAAGAGCCAGTAATGTTTTGCACATAATTCACATACAGACTATAATTTATTTATCATTTACACTATTACTTAGTAAAATTTGAGTAATTTTTCACTATTGCACCGATAACGTATCTAGCACAGATTAAAAAGTTTTTTATTCTAGGTATCTTTCAGAGAATTTTGAGTGGCCAAAAATTAATTTTTCTCCGTACGCGTTGGTTGTTGTTATTATTAGTTAGACGTTGTGTCGTTAGCATAGTTGTGACTGGACTGGGGATGATTTGCGTCTAGGGGTGGACAAGGGGGAGTGGGGTTACCATGTTTTAGGTGAAAACAAAATATTGTCTTTGATTTACGTGAGTACGACTATTTCTTAGGGTAAGATTGAGAAACGAGAGCACAAACTTTGACCCCTTTATGTTTTTGACATACGACGTAGCGCTACTTTACAAATTCCGCCCTAAATGCTAAAAATAATTAAACAAAACTAAAGGATAAGGATAACTTTAACTTAGATTTCACCTTTATTTTATTCAAAAATAACAACCAGAAATGGTCACCCCACTCATAAGACTAGAAATACAGTATTCGCCTTCGCGTTTACATACTCATAGACGCACCCGTCCAGTAAACAACAGCTTATATTTACTCGTGTACTTTTGTTAGTCATCGCTAACAGTACGAATAATTAAAAACATTAAAAATTCTTAGTACCGTACAAAGAGGCCATTGACATTCCAAATTCAAAAATTCAAAGACAAGTATAGTAAAATATCCAATTGACCAAGTAGGTTTTATTAACAATTTTTTATACGGACAACTTTTGTAGTCTCCTAACGGGCCAGACATTTTTGTGACCGCTTTAATTATGGTTTGATTGAACCCTTTCGAAAAGATTAATAGAAATATTAAGAATCGTAAAGACAATTATAGTTCGTGTCAGTGGTCGCTTTGATGATAGCGTTTGCATCAATTCGCACGTTTCCTTTAAAAGAAAATGCTCTAATAAAAAAACCGCACTTAATACCAGCTTGCACGCAACTGTAGTGTACGCATTTTGTAGTTTTAATACCAGACTATATAATTGCGAGAAGTAATATGGATACGAAAAAACATCCAAAACCTTCCTCATGTAAAAAAATAAAGATATTTTTTAAATCAAATCTATGCATTGTTTAGCTTGTAGTCTGTATGATTACATACCACATACATTTTGTCATTTCTAAATAAATAAAATAAGTTTGTGTTTTAACTGGATTAAAACACAAAATAATATCTAAAAAGATACTGGACTCCTAGGAATGTGCCTCAAGCAGTATAACAGATATCTTTTTGTGATCCACCTAATCGCTTTCCAGCCCAACACTTGTTCCGACAATCGAACCCAATCGCTTTAACTATTAAGCTATAAGTTTTCGTTACTATGCGTTTGTAAACTGTGTTTGTAGTATCCGGTGTAAACCTATTAATAGTCCTATTAAAGCCATCATGGATCGCAAAAGGTCAAGGTGCAAAATTTCTTATCTAAATCTAGGTATAAATGCTGCCTAGGCTATCCATCAGAACGGCCCCAGGTAACTTAAATCAGCTATTATTATATTATTTCCCTTAAATCGTAAAAGTTATTGCAGCACTATTTTTGCTTAAGTAGCTTTGTCTCTTTCTGTCAAATCGTGTTTACGCTGTGATGAAAAGAGGCAGATGTCTTCTAGTCCTGCTTAACGTCCATGGTGAAGTATTTACTACCAAGGCCTAATAAATGGACTGTCCGATCAATTATATTATTAAAACTAACCAACAATAAAACAAGTTAATGAAATATGCATATGTCGTACACAAGACTGCTGCTTTAGTCACGTTACCACAAGCTTAGTGATTACGATTGTACAGTGAGTACGATTTTTGGATTATTCTACAAAAAAGTTACATAAAATTGGAATATTAAATATCTCTATAAACATTGTAAGGCTTTTGTCGTGGGCAGTACAAAGGCACGCACCGACTCGACAGAATATACGTGATCAAGTGGTCATATTGTTCGTACTTTCAGACTTGCTGATCCGCGCCATTGGCGTATAGAATTATTGATCGCTATTGATCAGGTGTAATAATGTAATCATTTATCTGATAATTGATTAACAGAGCTCCAGGCAATACTCTTTCATAATTCAATCATTTTAATTCACACTTGTATAGCATTTAATTGAGAAAAGGTAGAGATTTTTTTCTATAATCTACGAAGAGCACGGAATATTTGTAACACTTTTTTTTATAGAACAAAGCACGGCAAACGGGCAGAGGGCATAGGATGTTTAGTGATACAGCCCAAGGACACTCTTAACGGTTTCGAGAGTGCGTTGCCCATAGACTATAGAGTTCAATAGAGCATGAAATCTTTCAGTGTCCCAATTAGAAGACAGGAGGGAAATTTTCACATATGTTTTTTTACTCAAGCAGATATTGTTTCATGTTTTTAGATAGTAGACGGTCCTTTAGTAAAAATCGTAAAATATACGAGTTATATATCGTAAAATAACGTTTAACGTTAAACCGAGTTTGACACATTTCTTTTCTAGTAATTTCTATTAACGGCCAACAGGCTTTCTGTGCCAGAAAATCAATTTGATTTGAGAATATGTCGCAAAAGAACATCAACAAATTGCGGAAGTGGTCGAAAATCATTTAATCCAATAAATGTTAGTTGATATTAATTGCATTAGTGTCACGTGTTGCGTGTTGTTTGCGACATGTTTTCTGTGAGTCGCATCGTGTGTAAATTGAACTAAGATTTAATCAATAATTAGCTTAAAAACTTGAAATTTAAAAAGGCTCGCCTCAAATATATTAAAAGAGCCTGTTCGGAATCGGGCATTTTGTAGATACTAATTATTATAAATTGAATCGCGGGTGCTATTGTGTGTATATTCAAACATTTTTTCGTCTGAAATGTCGTTATAAAAGATAAGCAACAAGATATCGGCGTCCTTTTGTTTTCTATTAGTATAAGATCCCGATATACAAGGACCTTCACCGAGATGCTTATTTAATGAAACGTATTTTATATTTAATTTAATATGTCAATAAATATAATCCATATGGGTTGCCTAGTAAATTTCAGTCCAGAGTATGTTTAATTAATATTAAAAAAAAATTTTTTTTTTATAATTTGCATGTAGTAAATTTTTTTCAATCAATATTTTTAATCAGGGTAGTATTATATAGGTATCACTATAACTTTCTTTTTTACTAAAGATGTATATATACTTTAGAGTCAAATAAAAAATATACACATAAATAATTAATTGATCAAAAACAACCTAACGTTTGCATATTCTATGGGCTTCATACTTTCGATTGGTATAGAATTTATCTAATAATCATACCGGTGAAATGTTTAAAAAAATATTTTTTTTTAATATTAATTAAAATACTCTGGACTGAAATTTCCTAGGCAACCCATATGGATTATATTTATTGACATATTAAATTAAATATAAAATACGTTTCATTAAATAAGCATCTCGGTGAAGGTCGTTGTATATCGGGATCTTAGACCATATGGTTTTAACCTAAGTCGAAAATCAATATTTGCATTAAAAAATCATAAGCTGTCATATTTTTAATACCCTATTTAAGCTGATTATTTACACTTTGTGGCAAAAGGTAAAATTTTTAGTAGTAATAACAAAATCAATAAATAATACTAATAAATGGTATGACTTTGAGGATTCAAAAACTAACTAAGACACAGTGCACGATCATAACAACTTTCAGCTACACTCTCAAATTCATGCGCATTCACACACTAACTCATTCACTCATTCTTCATTTGTAACACTAAATTCATTTTTTTTTAAATGTTTTAAACATGTACCATGAAATACTTGTTTTCTAGTTATCCACAACACAGGGCCTACCTATTGTGGGGACCTTTTGCCATAAATAATGTTTTTATTTATTTATTTAAATATTCTACGCATTTAAAAACATTTTTCGTATTTCATGATAATAATTTCAGCCATTTTTTGAAAAGTCTAAATCCTCTCAAGATCTGTCAAACCTTCTTTAATGAAGTTTGTCATTTTTGACAGCTCAAGATTGTGACCATAAGTCATAGAGCACGAAAAATTATAACTTTTATTACAGAAAATGTCTAAGAAAATTCGGAAAGGTGATAAGTCAACGCGTGGGTAGTCTTTATTTCTCCCGAAGCAGCAAATGTGCTCAATCAAAAAAGCATGTGCCCTTTAAACGTGATACATAATCCAATAACTTGTATTAGAATTACTAGATAGATTTTGCTATAAATCTATGTTTTTAATTTTAAACATTGCTTACAATTCCAACAGTAACCATATTAATGCGAATAATAATTTAGCGCCAAAATAGCCTTAGCGATTTTATTATCATACATATTTAATTTCTCGAATAATAAAAAAATAAGACTATAATATAAAAATAATATCATATGAGCCTATAAATGTTTTATGATTTTCGTATTATTTTGTGAAATAATAAATGTTAAAATATTTTTTTTTCAAGTTTTTAACACAATGTTTTTGTTTATATATATTGTGCGTTAATAAAAACTCTGAGAACTAATACCAAACTTTGCTATTTTCAATTTGTAAAAATTACTTCCTTTTATTAGCACATGCCAACTTATACTTAACGATTGTAATTAAATAATAGTAATGAAGGCATGAATTGTGGAGTAAGCCGCTTTGCAACACGTGAAGATTAATAAGATTACATTTGCGAAATATTCGATAGGTTTGACAGTTGACATACCACACGTGACATTTATAATTCATTTTGGCGGTTAATCCTTGTTACATGCAAAACCATCATATCACCAACACATTGATTAATTCGATCTTTAACCTAATACAATACGTGCGGAAAATTAATTACAAATATACAGGTAAATCTTTTTTCTAACTTTATAAACAATTTTGAATATTAAAATCTACGAATAACAATATCATAGATATTTTATTAAAAATCAAAAGTCCAAATATCGTTGACAAATAAAATAATCCATATAAAAAAAAGGTACTCTGTGGTTTAAAAAACGGTATCTTGTGATATTTTGTTTAGACATGGATAAATGTTTAATCTGTAATTTATTTAGTATTATACCTATAATATATAAGTTCCGTTGAAGTTATTAAAAACAAACAAATTCTTTAAAATTTGATAACTAAACACTCTTAAATCAGTAATTTATAAAAATTGGTTTAAATTTTTTTTGTAAACATATTGTTATTCGTAGCTTGTAGTACATATTTAGAATATCTAAAGGTAGCGAGAACATCAAAAAGTTATATATTATCAGAAATAAGCAAATACTCACGACATCTGCCCAAACAGGTTGAAAGTCCCTTTGTCGTAGTTCACTAGATGGCGCCACTTTGGCTGGCTTTGTACTGCGGTCGAAGCTTGGCACCACTGGTTCCTCTTCATCAGATGATACCTATATCATTAGATTAAATCAAAATAATTTAACATTACCTTTTATTAGATGCAATATTTCCATACAATTTTTCTAATTTGTATTGAAATGTTTTGTCTTTTTCACTCTACTGAACCTTTTCAAATAAACAAAATAAAACAAATTAAGGCTTGAATGAGGTATTTAAATAAGTAAAAGTATTACAAAAAAATTCTTACTTTTGCGATGTTTGGCGAAGATTGCGATCGATTAAGTGCTGCACTTGCACTCTCAGTACTGGAGCCGTATGAGTCTGCATCTTCTTCCTAGATTTAGATATTAATAAATTGCCAATATTAATATTTTTATGAAGCTATTATATACTGTAATATTTGAGAGAACATCTTCATCATCTACTTTTAAATTTGTTATAAATGTGTGTTCAAGCATTACGTACGTTTTTCTGTACCCAATAGTAAAACGTTTAATGACCACCCAGTTACTCTTTATACCTAAAATTTACCATTATGTGGTGTAAGGAACTGGAAAGTCGAAAATAATATTAATAATAACGCGTAATTCAATCTACGCCCCGCATCGTAACGTTTTGCAAAAGGACCCCCCCTCCCAAAATTCGTTACGTAATACTTGAACGCTCCCTTAATTGTGATTTCGAAATGTATTTAATATCCTTACCTTGTATTTAAAGACCTTACCTTATAATTCGGTTTCTGTTTCTCCCTAGCCTCAGCCAGTTTCCGCTTCCGCTCAGTTTCAAGCGCCTCCCTTTGCCTGTCAAGTGACACCCTCTGTGCGGTGACAGCCGCGATACGAGCACGCTTTGCTTCCACATCGCGAGCCGCAGCTTCCCGCTCACGGGCTGTTGCTACAGCTATAACATTTTTTTTTAATAATCGCGAATATTTGTATTTTATAACACGATACGTTAGAATTTTGGACGTCACGTGATATAAAAAAAACGAAATTCAAAATGTTACAGTTCTTGCTACTTTTCCTATGTCACTTATGGCCGCTTTCTGCATTATTCGGACCTTTATACATTAAAAAAATTAATTTGTGTAAATGTAATTGTTTTAAGTCAGTGGTCAGTTTTGGTTGTTTTAAACACACGCCACACACGATAATGACAGACATTACTTAAGGTATATCGAAAAATTAAACTCTACTTTACTTTCTTAATATACTTATAATGCCTGGACGAGATCGCATTATTTTATTTACAAAAGGCCAGAGCTCGGCAAACTGATACATATATAAGAAAAATAATATCCAAGATTTAAGACACGCACTTATAGGCAAACATAAGTGCAACGATCATCTATATCTATATATTACTTTAAATTCTTCTATGTAAGTGTAAATAAATAAATTGTATATTTTTATTATATTAATTGACTACATATAGATGATCTGGAACTAATTATTCACCTTCATTATCAGCAGACGGCGTTAGCTGTGACCGGGCGATGCTCTCAGCGAGTTTGGCTGCCTCTTCTCTTTCCCTTCTCTGATAATCTTCCAGCTTCTCACGCAGAGATTGGTTCTCTTGTTCCTGAGATCAAAACTGAAGTTACAATAACAAATGGTATTTGGTCCTGTAAAGCTAACGTTTATATAATTTTAATACATTTGCTTTTTTTCAGATTAGTTTCCATTCCTCACCATACTCCAGTTGTGCACCAATTCATTTTATATTTGCTGTAGTGAAGGGAAAATGCGTGATCAGGCACAAAAGACTGATCACTTGTCAAGAAAAAAAATCATCAAGATATCTTTATACAGATTCTAATAATAAAGTAAATAATTAGTAGAACTAAATACTTCCTTGAGTATTTACAATAATTGAAAATTGATGTAATGATTAGTTAGCTATTGCTAAGCATAGATGGCGCAATTCAATTTTTTTAGAAAGTTTACCAAATAGTAATTAACTATCCTATACACGAAAAATCAAGACAGTTCGATTAGACCGTTTTACCTGAAGCTACTCATCTGTCTCTTTTCACCATAGCTTAAACACAATTCGATAGAAAGAGACGCAATACGTTAAAAAATGTAAACAATTAAAAAATATATACCATATCAAACTGCTTGTTCTCGAGCTGCATAAGCTGTGAAATAATTTCTTGTTCCCGAAGCTGGTACATGGCTCGCAACTCATCCCGGTGTTCTGTTTCCCCTTGTTGACGTATTTTTTCCCAGTCCTAAAAAAATATGCGCTTTAGAAGAAAAATTTGATCCGCGGCTAATTTATTATTCGGGAGAAAGTGTTAATTTGATGCGAAAAATTATAGTATAATCGAAAAAAAAAAATTTCGAATTGCGCAGATTAGTTACTATAATTATTTGTCACAGTTTTCTATAGATTACTAGTGGACCCCACAGACGTTGTCCTGCATGATATTTAAAGCAATTAGGATATTAAGCAAAGTATGAAAGTACCGACTGCAGTGCCATCTGCCGGGCTGATTTGTGAATCTAAACCATTCCCAGATCCCCTTGAACACACACAAAAAATTTCATCAAAATCGGTCCAGTCGTTTGAGAGAAGTTCAGTCACATACACACGCACACAAGAAATATATATATTAAGATTTTCTATAGATTATTGTGTGGAGCTGGCCATTTTGCAATCATTTTTTATTGACAGTAGCGATTCATACGTTTACGTAGTTAAAATTTGTTTAATTTGGGTTTGATTCCTGTCAAATATATAATAGTTTCGGGTAAAAAATAAATCAAGACGGTGATTTGTCAATCGGTACAAAATTAGTATTTTTAAATCAATAATGTTAATATAATAAATACCTGTTCAGCCTCAATCCTTTGCATCTCAAGAGTAAGCGAAGTATCGGCGATAAGTTCCTGCTGTTCCAATATATGTTGCATGTTACGAGAGCGTTCTGCATATAGTTCTACTGCAGCTGACTGAAAATGTAAATTTTATATTTGAAAAGAGGCTCAAATTTTTTTGTTTGGCAGCGAGTATTTGTGGCATATACATATATGCATACTGGGTGATGTCAAACCCTGAAACGCGGTAATGAAATTATTCCAGCCGCTAAGGATATTATATGCAACTTCTCGACTTTAGTGACTGGGGCCTTCGCAGCCGGTCAGTTAGACAGATCGATGATCTACCCTTTAACTTGGAGGAATGGTACATCATCCTCCCTCCACATACAAATACCCCTTGGTTATATAAACTAACTAACCATTTAAATATTTAATACACTTAGGAAGCCAATCAATATAAGTCAATATCAGCCATGGGAGCGTTCAAGTATTACGTAACGAATTTTTCCCTTTTGTAAAACGTTACGATGCGGGGCCGGGATTGTATTACGCATTATTTTTAATATTATTTTTGACTTTCCAGTACTTTGCACCAAATAATGGTAACTTTTTGGTATATAAAGAGTCACGAGGTGGTCACAAAACGTTTTACTCTGTGGGGGGGGGGGAAAAAAATCGCGTGACGTAATACTTGAACGCTCCCTATATATTAACAATAATCAATATCATGTCATGGTTGAGAAATGAAAAGGGGTTTTAAAGAAGAGGGAGAAAGAAAAAAACAATGGCTCATGATTAATAAGCGTCCGTTTTTATTATAATTACAAGCTTTTGAATACCCTCATTATACGCCAGTTATTTCTGAAGCCATACTTTGCTGAAAAATTGTACGGATTCTTCAGTAGGTGTATCACTGAATATGAGATGAGCTTTTAGTTAAATCGTGAATAACATAATTCAATTCGAAATTCAAGCGCTTAGAGGCACCGCTGTACCTTTTTTGGTAGCAGAGATTACAATCCAGAAATTGATTGCTACCGACCAAACATGGTTTTCGTTATTTAAGTAAAACAGAACCAAATCCGTGAATAAAAAAGATGACAATAACCTAAAAAGAAATGATGACAATTAAAGATGAAATGATTAAGTTTAGTTGGTTATTTTATGAATACGCCATACGTCCATGTCATGTTAACAAATTAAAAATAAAAATTGTCCTCTGTTTATAAAAATAAATCAGTCCAATAGTTTTAAATAATTTGTCTCTTTTCATCATAACGTAAATACCATTTGACAAAAAGGGATGACACATGATTTAAGATAAAATAAAAATAACATTTATTTACATAGACTACACAAAGCACTTACTTATAGGGGCCGGCAAAAAAATGTTTTTTTTTTAAAATTGAAATTTACTGTCATTTCTCAATTCGGGTGTGGAATAAGAAGTACTGGCAATAAACTATCCATCGATCTTTTTATTCGCCAAGATTTTTGTTTGAAGAAATGTTTTGATCACATCTTAAGGGAATTAATTATAATAATAAAAATAAAGAAACCCCAATATCTAATACATACTTGATAGTGTGTCTATGTTTTATCAAAGTTAAGATGCAATAATTGACTTGAATAACTGTTTATAAATTTACAATTTATTTATAAAGATTACCTTGCTAGCTCGATCTATGACTGGTTCAGATGATTTGGGGCGGCTATCAGCAGGTGTCGGGTTCAGATCTGACCAATTCGGATAGTCTATTTCACCTAAAATCATACATTTAAAGATTTAAGATTGGTGTTGTAGTCAAATGAAAAATACATATATCTCGATTGTCATAATGTAAGCTTGATTTTAAAACTGGTTTCAAACGTTTACTGTCAAAATGGGGGATAATAAAAATTTGAGAATACCATAAGAAATTGCATATTACAATCAATAAACTAAAGCTCATTCAGAGGTTCAAAGAATTTCTGCTATATCTTTTTACATATTGTTTAAATTAATTAATTATTTGGGCTCAAAACTCATAATTCTAGTTAATTATCATAAGAGTCAAATGTTAAATGGGATCTCACCAAGCATGTCATCCAACATGATATCCTGTGAGGGTGGTATAGCCTGTGGATTAGTGGTGAAGGCCGGATACTTCAGTAGCCAGTCTTCATAACCACCCCATAGTGCAACTGGTTGACGAGAGTATTGTACTTTTATGTCCCACTGGAATGATATTGAATTTGTTATTTTTTTTATGTGAATACATTTTATGTTTGGTAATTTCTATAGGTCAGCTAACTCTATACACCTCAGAAAAAACAACACACATGTTAATGTTACAAATTTAAATTAATTTAATTTAAACATGTTACATGTTTTTTGCTGTTGATACACAGCAGCATGTATTAATCCTTATTGAATATGAATGTAACAATATTATTATTCTAAATCTAATTCTAATTAAAACTGTAAATAAATGATGTTAAGACAGAGTACTAGCCCTAGAGACTGACTGTACATAAACAAAATGTAGCTAAAATTCAATCAAACACAGTAATTTACCTTCAGTAATATTGTCTTGAGTAGGTGCAGCGGTTTCCCTGGAATGACTGTAGTGCTACTCCAGTCCAGCATCACTATCAGCTCAGAGCTGGCCCGCTCTGCCCAAACAGGACGAGATGCAGATGGTAGATTCTGTTCCAAAACATTTGCTGATTGCCTGAAAAATATTAAGAAAAATAGAATTACTTATTTTTTAATCTTTATTAAAAATAAACCAATTAAAATAGATTCCTTTAATTTATGGGGCATAAAAATCAGTTACAAAGAGTAATCTAAGATACAAAATATGTTTATATTGTTTTATTGGAACAAAAAATATATTAATAAAGTTTAAGGAACAAAAAAGGAACAGTTTAAAAAATATACTTACCCAGGTGATATACATTCTTCTGGCACACTGATGCAAGCAGGATGGTTAATGTGTGAGTTAATATAATCTTTACCAGGTCGAGCATCTAATATCATTACTTTAAGTTTGCCATTTTTTAATATAGTATACAGTTGATCACTTTTGATTGTAACTTCATCAGGACCTACAAATGTTGAAAATGTTGATTAAAAAATGTTAAAGTCTTAATCATGTTTATATTCATCAAAATAAAACAAATAGTTTATTTTTCTTCGTGTGTGTCATGAATGATGGTTGAAATCATATTTATATCTAAACTCATTGTTATTCCTAAAAGTCAATCAATTTAATTAGAATGCATGTAACATGACCAATAATAATATACTTTAGCCTAATAATGATATTACACCCAGGTCTGAAACAAGGCCAATTCTTATTCAGAAATTAGTCCTTCTTTGACTGAACCAAATAATTTTATTGTAATTATTAAAATTAAAACATATTATATATTATAAAATACTCTAATACAAACCTGGTAGACCAGTTGGAGGTGGTGGTTCAGCAGCAATAGTGTCCATAGCCTTTTTACGGTTTTCATCTATTTTCTGTTTGATTAACTCATTTTCTTGTATATCCATCAGTCGTTTGGCTTTCTGCTCTTTAGCATATCTATAATAATATCATATAGTAACAATATTGATAGAAAACTAAAGCAATATATTTTAATTTATTCAAATAATGTTGACTCCCATTCATAAGTAGTTATTGTACCAAATTATAGAGATTAAATCAATTCTGATTAGAAAAACATCACATTATATATTCAAATATATGTGTTAATTACCAGCCAAAATTTTCTAGCTTTAGACAGAATTACTTATTTCAGTTACTTAATGAATCAGTAATAATATATAGAAAAGAATTGTTAAGGTTACCTTTCTATCAGACTTATTTTCAATTTCTCAGCCGCATCAAGAGCTTTGTTTGGATTCTTAGGCCCAAGCATATTATTAAAGTAATTTTTATCCTTCAGATATTCTTTGTCTTTACTGATAAATGCAATTACCCGAAGGTATTTCATATAGTACACATACGAGTACTCCTCATCACCTTTTGCACGAGCTTCTTCAGCACTTTCAAAGAGTTTTTGAGCTGTCTTGCATAACCTAGAGAAGGGAGAATGCATTGTCAAGTAATGTCGCCACACAAATAAAGAATTAAGTATATGAAGATACTCACAAGGTTGCTCTCTTCGATTTTAAGTCGGGTACATTGTACAATTTATCCAAATCTTCTATACATTTGCCCAAATGGAGCTGTATACGACGCGTCTCGGTCATAATTCAGTTTTTACAAAAACGAGCACAATATTAATAAATAAGTAAATAAAGAGGCGCTAGTGTTTTTTAGTTTTACATTGGCGTTTTGTACTAGAATATACATAAAATAATGCCTTTTTATCTAGGAATAGTGGAATAGGAAAACAAAAATCTACGAATAAGAAATATTTATCAGAAAAACACAAGTGACGACTGACAGTGTCAAATTGTCAGAAGTTGGACGTATGGAACTCATAGATTATAATGTTAAATTGTATAGCTGCACTCTTTAGTATAATTAAAGTCAAACTGTCAACTGTGTCTACCAATCAATATATTCTGTAACTTACCCACAGATATTTTCTGCGTAAAAATTTGCAAACAAAATAAGCTGAAGGTGCGCAAGTTTTCATGCGCAATGAAAACTTCCTCATTTTAAGCTGGTCGATTACGGTGTTCCATTTAGTTTTTCAGCTGATCACGCTTTCATTGGGCGCTCCGCAGACGACGCGTGTGTCATGAGCGAATCTCTTGCAGCGTAGTAAAATCGAGTGCTTGTGTCGTGTAGCTAGCTAGTGGCTGTGAAAATGTTTTCAGGTCTTACAAATCAGGTCAGTTCGTGGATGGGAGCAGCTAAGGGCGACCCTCAAGATGAAGAGGTTCCCACCCCAACGAAAGAAGCGACAGGAGAGGCAGCTGCAGAGGGGGACAAACAAAGGTATACGTTCTTTTGTTTATATTTTTATTAGACTGATCCTGATTTCTCAATTTTTAAATTATTGTTTCGGAAATTTAAAAGTGATGCATTATTCAGGGGGAAATTAAAGCACCGAAAAATATCGCTTCAGGTGGCTATCTGCGCAGTACATTAAAATTACGGAATTACCTCTTGTAATTGAAAATTCCGTGTATGATATTCCCATTGTTGCATAATACGTAATATTGATCCATGTAATGGGGTCAATGAATTTGGACACATCTAATAGTCTTGGGGTGCTTTAAGTACCTATTTAATAGCCTTGTTGGGGCAATAATTAACAATTTTGTTCTTGGAGTAAAATAATTCTTTTCCTATAATTTCTTATGAGAATCTGTTACAAAAAATAAATACATTGGATTGAATAGAATAGGAAGATTATGTCATTATTTCAAACTACATTTGTCACAACATTATTAAAGCATGGGTTGAATTAAAAAAAAATATATATATATTTTTTTAATTCAACCTATTTGTGTTATTCGACAGAATACTTTTTTATAGAACATTTAATTTTTTTTTAAAGCCCAACCAAGGGTGGAAGCAAACTGGACCTCATCACAAATGTAAAGTCACAGATGACAGGGTGGCTTGGCTCTGGAATCCCTGGAATTCCTGGTCTAAAAAAGAATGAAGCACCCTCAGCTGATGCTCCAGAGACAGCTCCAGTAGAACCTGCTGAATTGGCAGAACCCAAGCCAGAGGGGAAAGAAGATGATGACAATTCTAGGTACATTAGGTATGAGGGGTTGCAGATAGAATGAGTTTCGCTGTCAATGAAGCTTATTGGTGTTACTTTCTAAAAACCGAATCATTTCAATGATTTTAGTTCGAGCATTAAAATTTATTCAATCATAGTAAAAAACTGATGAGATGCTCGAAATAAAAGTTATTAATCATGGAAAGTCTTATCATTATTGGAATGCATGTCTAAATCTCAAGTGTAAGTCATTCACTAAGCTTATGTAAGTACTCATATAGACTTTAGACAGTATAGGTTTTTGCACTTTAAAAAATTGAATATCACATCACTTTAATTGCATGTATACAACTAACATAAATTGGGCTCAGAAGTTGTTCAATATTTGATATTACTTTATCTATAGAAATTATAGAGATACAATTAAGATACATTAATTAAAATTATAATCTATGCTTCTTGTAAACTCATTTATTCTGCCTAAACCCCATTTATGACTTCATTTTTTACTTGATCTTAAACTGTTAACATAGTAGATTTTTAAACATTGTAGAGTGAGTATATAAATCTATGAAATTGTTGATTTGTTCAAAGAATATCATCTTATTTAGATATTCATATAGTTTTACATATGTCTGGAATCTTAGGAAACAGTTAAGGGATTATGTAAGGTACAGGATAAAAATCTGAAAAAAATTGTTAGTCTTCTGTTATCTATGGTAGGCAACAATGAAAAAATTCCCATGTGTGCAAGTCTAAGGGGAACATTCATAAATGGGACTAGCCGCTAGCGCTAAGTCTAGTTCCCGTGCGTCAAATATGTATTGGATACAAACGGCAATCATATTTCGCTATGGAGACCCCATCTAAATGGGGATTTACTCGAGCGTCGAGAGACCTTGGGACAAAGCTTAGATAAAAAGAAAAAAAATTTATATATAAATTCCTTTTCATCGGTGGGGAAGCGGCTATAGATAGTTAAATATGTAAAAAAACTGTTGCATGGACATCCTCGAGCCGTCAGAATTGATAGCATCTATGCCCTACGTATTTTTAATAATGTACGTATTTAATCTGATCGTTTGCATGATGCGGGTGGTTGTATTTAAGGGTTGAAAATAAAAAAAAAATTTATCGAGCGCGTCAGATTTTCTAAGGGAGTGTTAAGTGCACCAAAAAAATCTCTCATCACAATTGACATTTCATGGGACCAAACCCACAGCCATCTTAATTTGCAAAAAAAATCGCAATTTTGAAATACTCAAGCGCGTCAGATTAAGATATATGTGGTTCATCTTTATGTTCTAAACGTACTGTCTCATAATCTGAGATTATCTAGAGGGATTCGCCTGATCTGACAAAAAAAAATAGAAAAACGGTTCACCTAAAGGGCCATCCCTGCAACTTCCCGCTAATTCCATTCCTGGGCGCTTAAAATTGATATTTTGAGCTCCTAGTTCAAAATAACATTTCTGCATTTGAGCTCTCCCAGCCGAAAGTCATAGAAGTTTCATAGAACATATTTGGAATTTTCAAACCGCAATAACTTTTGAATGGATCAAGCAATTTTCACGCGGTTGGCGGCATTCGACGCAGTTTATCATTCTCATAAGTGATTTTGCAATTTTAATTGATCGAACCACAAATTTCGAGTAATCCCGAAAAAACACTTTTCGGGTTTCTTTCATGTACGATATCTCTCGAACGAATCAACCGCTTTTGACCAGCTTGGTGGCGATCGACGTGGTTTTTCAAGCTCAAAGGCGGATTAGTTTTGAAGTTGATCGATAAAGAAACCACTTAAAAAAAAATATTTCTTATTTTTTAAGATTTTTCAAAATTTCTCAAAATCTATCGGTCGAATCGGTTCAAATTCACAGAAAATGTAATTTTGAGGGAAATATTTTGAACGCCGTTTAGTAGATTCCGATCGGTTTAAGGAAATGTAGGCATCACGCAGCTCCGCATTAACTTATCGACAATTTTTGTTATTCGGCGCGGAAATCGTCAGATAATTTCATATTCTGGATATTTCCTTCAAAATAAAAGAAAAATTAGCTACGCTCGAGAATGTCGAGATGACGTTTTTTTTACAACTTTGTTGCCCTCCCTTTTTCCGTCACTCTCAAATTGTCAGATTAGTGGAATAACTTTTAGGATGTAATTAACTCACCCTACCTTAATCTGACGCGCTCGAGGAATTTCTGATGGTCAATTTTTTTTACTAATCTGATCCTGTCTCCTTCACCGCGGCCTTATATATGGGCCTCATATTTTGTGGAGGTACTTAACCGGGTACAAGTATCCCCCTATATAGTAATCTGCCGCGCTTTAGTAAATCCCGAAATCCCCTCTTGGGCTCCCCTACCACTATAAATAAAATAAATCAGAAGCGCGACTGAATCTTACCCTAAAATGTAGTGTCTTTATAAAAACTGGTATTCATAAGGAAGAAGACGCATATAATATCGTAATCATACGATATGTCACTGACCTACGAAGTCAGAAAAGGGAATAACCTATTGAGTGTATGAATGCTCAACCTAGATATGATACTTTTGGCATAGCCATTTGTGGATGCAGATGCCAAGTAGACAATATGACGCATTGTTCTGTGACGTAATGATCACAGTTTTTATACTTTCAAGTTCCTATATTGGCTTTTACGCTGTCACGTCTTGCCATTTATTATATATACGTATATCAGATTAAATTAACTTAGTTACTCAATAAAAATACATGGCTATCCTGTAAGAAAGAAGACATTTTCCTTTAATCTGAGATTTAAGTAATTCAAATATATTGAATCTTAATGCCCCCCTCTTAATGCCACTGAGAGCTTTTGAAAATTGTACTCAACTAGGGATTGACACCCTTAATATTAGGTCCTTACATATGAAATTGGCGTTTTGTATGGGAGGAACAAAAAGTCGAATATTTTTAAATATAATATATTTAATTAGTCAAAGTATGAACCATTGTTTTCTATGCACTTTTGCCATCTCATAGGTAGTTCATTGATCCCTTTACTAAAAAAACCAGTCGGACGGGAATCAATAAAATCTGTGAAGGCGATTTGGACTGGGCAATCAGAGTTAAATTTTTTCCCTTGCAAGAAGTTGTCCAAATTTCGAAAAAAATGGTAATCTGTTGGAGAAAGGTCCGGTGAGTACGGAGGATGTCGTAGACATTCCAATTGAAGCTCTTCTAATTTGGTAGCCGTCGGTTGTGCAGTGTCTCAGGTCTAGCGTTGTCGTGAAGTAGCAGTGGCGTGGAGCGATTGACCAGCCTAGGTTGTTTAGCCGCTAGCTTTTCCATCATGGTTTGCAATTGCTGACAGTAGACATCAGCCGTAATAGTCTGGCCAGATTTGAGAAAACTGCAATGAACAATACCGGCACTAGTCCACCAAACGCTTACAAGTAACTTTTTTGGGGTTAATTTTCGCTTGGGGCAGAATTTGGCTGGCTGGCCAGGATCCAACCATTGCCCTGAGCGCTTCCGATTATCGTAAAGAATCCATTTTTCATCACAGGTAATGATTCGGTTTAAAATACCTTCATTATTGTGCCGGTTCAGTAATGTAACGCAGCAGTCGACGCGCGTTTGCCGGTTTGCTTCAGTCAATTCGTGAGGTACCCATCTTTCAAGCTATTTATCTTCCCAATTTGCTTCAAGTGAATTAAAACAGTTTTATCACTAACACCGCAGCCTGCAGCTAACTCGGACGTGGTTTGCGATGGATCCGCTTCCACATTAGCCTTCAACACTTCATTATCAACTTGGGTCTCAGGCCGTCCACGGGGCTTGTTCTGCAGGTCGAAATTTCCAGAACGAAAACGTTGGAACCAAAAACGAACTGTATTTTCTTTTGCAACATGACCGCCATACACATCATTCACTCTTCGAGTCGTTTCCGCAGCACTAGTGCCACGGCGGAACTCGTACTCGTAAATAATGCGATACTTTAAGTTTTCCATTTTGTAAAATGAGTGACGCAAACAGAAAAAAACAGAAGAAAAAAACAAATGAATGACGGTCATCGAAGCACAACATGAGTAAAGGTGGAAACATACTACTAAAACGCCCCGCGCCGCGGGGTGGCGCCCCCCGGTTCCCCCTGCCCCCCCCCCCCCCCCCCCCCCCCCCCCCCCCCCTCTCAAATTCTGTTGTTTTTTGGCGCCCCCTTCCCCCCGGCCCCCAAAACCCACGCGGGGGGGGGGCGGCCCCCCCCCCCCCCCCCCCCCCCCCCCCAAAATTTTTTGGTTTTTCCCGGGGTGTTCTTGTGGGGTTTTTTTTTTCCTTCCCCCCAATATATATTTTTTTTTTTTTTAAATAAACAAAGGGGGGGGGGGGGGGGGGGTGTGTTTTTTTTTTTTTAAATAGCTGTACAAATTTGAATTTGGAATTCCTTACCAAAGAGGAGAACATCGTGATTAAAGTGGCCAGTACGAAATACGCCAATTTCATATGTAAGGACCTAATATAATGCAGTAAAATATAAGGATACCTTCTAGTTTAAAAATAATATTTACGTATACACAAAGCTGAGCTTCCTTTATCTCCTACTGTTCATTATGTGCACTATACGCTAACTATACCAGCGGGATATTATTAGTCACAGTGCGACCGTGATCAAATTGAGCTTTTAATATTTGCTTATTGTGATCAACGCAAGCCTAATTGTAATACATTTTAAATATATTATCGTTATCTGTCTAGAAGAAAAAGAAGAAACACACGAAAGAAGAAATACAGAAAAAGACACGAAGCTATGGTAAAGAGATACCAAGACTCGGTTATCAAGTCTTTTAGTTTATATATATTAAAAAGTGATACTTTAGTACGATAACCGTTTTAGCTAAAATATCTGTATGGGAAATCAGATATAAAATCAAACACTTAATCTTTACAGCACAGTCCTACTACTACCTAAGCATATAAATGTGAAATAACTGTCTTTTTTATTATACAGTGCCACCGGTGGTGCGGATAGTAGACCAGGCTCTACTGGTGGGACACCCACTGAAGAACAACCAGCGGGTGTCGGGAATGGTAAGCCAAAAACGCGTAATAAAAGATAGCTTCTGACAATATTACGTAATAGATAGCTTCATTTTTCGTTGTATATCCCTATACCCTTTTTCTGTATCTGTTTTGTACTGTCTTTAATTATTTTTCTAGGTAAACAGTTAAATAACTGGCATGACTGGTCTTGATCAATCACAATCACAAAAAAAAAATTGCTGTTTAGTATATGGGTCCAATTTGTAGATGTTTATGTTGGCCTAGTGGCGTCAGCGTGCGACTCTCATCTCTAAGGTCGTAGGTTCGAATCCGGGTGAACCAATGGACTCTTTGTCTATGTGAGCATTTAACACTCCTTCGTATAGTGAAGGAAACCATCGTGAGGAAACTTAGAGAAAAACTCGCGTGTGTCAGGCACAGAAGGCTAAAACAGATACAGAAATCTGATATTCTAAAAGATTGTAGCCCCACTAGTTTTTTATTATCTTGGAAGTCTAAGCCAAGTCCTGTATAGATTTTCGTCCTTAAATTAGTGCTATATGTTTTTGTATTTTTAATTTACTTTTTTAGTCGCTTTTTGTAGTATTGTTTGTTTGTGCACAGTTTCAGGTCCGCACAGTAGAAAGATATTCACAGTTGACGCGATCGAAGTATCAAATATGCAGGAATGTTAGTATTTTCATTTCATCACCCTTTATACATCTAAGAACATATTTGACGCCCCTGATTTCTTGGCCTTACCGAAATGTAAAAATCATGGTCCGATACGTTTTTAGTGATTCACAGTCGTATATTATGTGCTCTTTTTATTTAACAAATTATTATTTTAAGTATTTTTCTTGCTTTTAAAAATAAGTAATAGATTAACACTGTTTTGGAAAATCAAGATTTAGATTTTTAAAAGAATGTGTATAATCATAAAAAATTTGAATTTGTGCAGTTTCTATCTATACAGCTGAAATTACTTTTAATTCAATAATTTACAACGTGAAATACCGTCCGTAACAAAATGATGATTGTTTTAGCAATGGAAACATATTCGAAGCTTATTAATACTTTGTGTTGCGAATACAGAATTACTTTATAAAGTACCTACCATTCCGCGATTTAATAACCATTTATAAAATCGTGCATAATTAAAGTTGCCATTATTAATATGGAAATAATAAGTTTCGGAATGAAATGAGCAGCCGAGCGAAAATTAATTCATTTCAATTTTACTTTATTATTCGCGCTTATTTATTCGTAAGCCATGTTTTAAGTTTGTATGTCTTAATTTTTTGACTGTATTCATAAGAAACCTATTGGAGAAACTCTCACCCGCTGTGGCTATGTGCTGAAGGCTACAGCGCTATTTTTCCATTTCCAAAGATACCTTATTTATTTCGGCGTGTCGTAAATTTTTGTGACCATAATTTAAGTGTTCTAATGTACAGTGTACTATCTGATAGCAGGAGTAAGATTAGGCGTAAAGCTAAGATGTTTCAAGCAAAAAATGTAGTTGAATACTTGGTTCTTTCATGATAATTAATGAAAATATGTTTAACGGGCATGCATAGGCAAATTCATATTTAGGTTTTATATGACGCTTGTTTTAATACAAGTAATGTTTGACAAAATCCCAGAGACTTATAGACTCGTCACTCATCTTGTGTCATTTATTGATTTTGTACAGTTAGCTTTGTCATAGCCAAGTATTTGGCAAAACGTAGTTTGTAATCAGTCTAACGAGTTTGCCAAGATTTCTATTGTATCAAAATGTTGGCGAACATGGGTTCAATAGTCTGCCAATGTTGGCCTAGTCGATAAGTTTGCCAAGTAATGATGCATGCTGTTATTTATTTGCTGAATAATAAATTTTCTTTGGGTTTCAAACTCATAAGAACCTAGAGGTAGGAGTAAGTACGTGCTTCTACCTCTCCCCCTCCGGAGACGTCCTAGCAATAATTTCTTATTTATTCCATAGAAGTTCAGATACAGTAGGGGGGTAGAGAAGTAGGTAGAAAACTATACAAATTGTTGTAGAGTTATCATAAAATACTAAAATGACTAGTAATTTTTTTGTAAATATTGTATCTAATATATAAAATTCTCGTGTCGCAGTGTTTGTAGTTAAACTCCTCCGAAACGGCTTGACCGATTCTCATGAAATTTTGTGTGCATATTGGGTATGTCTGAGAATCGGACAACATCTATTTTACATCCCCCTAAATGTTAAGGGTAGTCCACCCCTACATTTTTATTTTTAGATTTTAGATAATTTATTTTTTTATGATAAAGCATTAAAAAATTTAAAATACATACAACCCCTAATTTTCACCCCTCTACGATCAACCCCTATTTTTTAATATAAATGATATACATGGAAAAACGACGTTTGCCGGATCAGCTAGTATAATATAATAATATGTATTTATATATGTATAATTAATGAGATGAGAATACATATAACTAGCAAAAAACAGACTTGTCTAGTAAACTTAATTAATGTTTTATATATATATACATCATACGAAACTCGACTTATAAATTCATACTTTTTCTTTTCGCTTACAAAAAACTTGGCTATAAGCCCATACCTTCTTTGAATAACTTTAAGAGTACTTGTAACTTTGATATACCTGCTTGGTATTAAGTTAAAGAAAATACTTAACAAGTAGATATTTCTTTCTCAAGTATCTCGGGTTCATTAATGGAAAAGGCTCTTTAACATTCTAGCGATCTTAGAAATGAGTCAGCGGTAGATAATAATTTGTTGAATAGTATACATATGTTACAGAAAATAAATCTTAGGTACATATTAACATATTATTCTACAATAGCAATAATTATCTACACAAACCCTGGAATCAGCTAGTGTAAGACGAATAGATACTAAACAGAGATACTTCTTCATACTTACAGTTACTACCAAGGCGGTCGCTGGAGCGAAGTCCCTTGGGAACTTCCTCTATTCAGCCGTGAACAAGGCAGGCGCTAAAGTCAGCGAGGCGAGTGCCAAAATAAAGAAGACTGTTGAAGAAAACGTAAGTACAAATAGATTACAGATGTTATCTGTCAAAAGTGAAGATTTGTTATGTATCTTAATTTGTGGTATCTTTGAAATACATAAACAGTTTCGATATATACTTCGATTCTATACTTAATTAAACTAAAAAAAAAATCGTTATATATACTGCTAGATAAGAATTTTGGTATTAATTCACTGAAGCCATTTCTTCTTTATGGTATGAATAATTAAAACATAAATAAATCTCTAATGTAACATTTTTACTAAAACCGTATAAATGCAAAACCTAGGACATTAATCGGATGATAGGAGGATCGAAATTCAATCAGAAAAACGGTTTACCCAGCGTACCCGGGTATAAATAACAATTTGACCCGCAATAGGTAATGGTTTCAACGAAATTAGTTTTATGCTTTTAGGACCAGCGCTTTTACTTTAATCTGTTTAAAAGTTTGCAATTGAAAAGTTATTTTCGACTCTATTTTTATGGGATTTGATTTGAGTTTTGCGTGCTATTGACCAAACCTTCAGAGAGTATTAGAAATATTGACTTTAGAAATTTTAGATTATATACGTTATTATAAGGTTTGTTTATTGTCTTTATTTTTTTAAAACATAATTTGGAAAAGAGAAATCAGCCTGAGTATAGACAACATTAAGAATATTTTGACATTTTAAATAACACGTCTAATATTTCTCATCATAAATGTTAGTGCGTTATTAACTTCAATTCCATAGGCATTGTGTAGGAGGGAAATGTAGGATGGCAATGATTCCAATTTTGTACCACAAGACCCGCGGCTTACGGAGAGGAGAGTGATCGATACCCTTCCGTAACCGACCTCGGGGTTACGCGACATTTTTATGTATAGGTTTTAGGATTTGCGACATTCTAATTAAGTTGTCATTTATGTTAACATTAATGGCGTTTATATTCCTGACATAGCCATTATTATGGAGAGCTATAAAAGTGACTAAAATCTCATATTATGATTTGATTAAACTAGATCCTATACAAATTATAGAATCAAAATTCACTCAATTTAATTTATGTGTTATATGGGGTTAGAGATAATAGAGAAGAGCAGTGTTGGCTTTGTATTCAGCGTGAAACTCTCATCCCTGAGGTCGTAGGTTTGATCCTCGGCTGTGCACCAATGGACTATCTGTCTATGTGCGCATTTAACATTCGCTCGAATGGTGAAGGACAACTCGTGAGGAAACCGGCTTTCTTTAGACCCTAAAAGTCGACGGCGTGTGTCAGTCACAAGATGCTGATTACCTATAAAACATATGACCATGAAACAGACAGAAATCTGATGCCCAGACCTAAAAAGGATGTAGCGCCACTGATTATTTTTTTATTTATAGTGTTACAGAGAGAGAAAACGATGATTGTTAACTGGTATTTATTTTATAGCTATGTTAGTGTAGGTAAAGTAATGACTTTGTGAACTGAAAGAGTAAACGTGCCAATTAGACGCGAAGCCGATAACTTTGATAAAGGAAAATGGACGATAAACTTGGAACAACTTCGGATCGTCAACGAGTTTGGGCAAGTTGGCCAAAGGATCTAATATTTTGTTCACAAACTCCCGATAACTTGATAGAAGTCGAAACAGGGATATCTTTATTTTGTGAAACACTTTGATGGCTGAATCCATCAATGTAACTGAGAAATAAAATGAAAAATGAAATGGACGTTAGTCCAATGACAGATGGGCAATCCGTCTTAGTTTATCAATTACAGTCAATTCTAACCGTACAGGGAGAATGCTATTTTAAAAATAATATAATGTAGCGTTACAGCTCTACATCTGTTCTTTTGAAGAGAATTAGCAGGTCAGCCTGACACATGCTGATTTTTGTGTACAAGTTATAGAATCGATTTGTGAGTTCATGCTAGAATTTGACTAGCTTTATTTATTATTAGTAAAATATTATTTATTAATTGGCATATTGTATTGAAGCTGAGTTTCATTATCGGACGTCAAGGCAGAATACAAAATACCATCCGTATCACCTCGACGCCACCACTATGTGGAACCAGCTGCCCACTGAAGTATTTTCGAACCAATTCGCGTTGATAGGCCGGCAACGCACTTGCGAGCCTTCTGGCAATGTGAGTGTCCATGGGCGGCGGTATCACTAAACATCAGCTGAGCCTCCTGCCCGTTTGCCTCCTATTACATAAAAAAATTGTTAGAGTTGTCACAGTATTCGAGTTAAATAGCAACGATGCAGTTTGTTTATGAGTACAGTAATGACGTTGCCAACTTTGTATCGTTATTTATCTTCATTGACGGTTCTGATAAGACGTCAGACAGTTGCTAGACAGTTTGGTATTCTATACTATGAAATTATGGTAGATAAGCTTCGGTTTTAAATATTTCTTGTGTTGAATGAGTAACATTAACTTCATTACCACATTTCATAACAAAAATATTATGCATATCGTATCCATTTCTAACGGTTTCGGGAAACCTAAATATTTTTTATACTTTATTTTTACCTTAGAACAACTATACCGGAACTATGGTATACAATGGAAATTGTTGGAAATAAAAAAGTAACGATGCCGAACGTTGTACTTTTTAGGTCTGGGCATCAGATTTCTGGATCTGTTTCGTGATCATTAGTATTTTTCTAATAGGTAAATAGGTGATCTGCCTTCTGTGCTAGACACAAGACAGTACTTTTAAATGTAAGTTTTCTCATGATGACTTAAACATATATTTGTGTTATTCTTATTTTCCAATTCCTTATATCGATAAATTCTTATTCTATGACGTATACTCGGAAATATTTCAAATTATTTTTAGTGCTCATGTTGCTGTACGCGATTAATAAATTTTCAATTTCTCAAGATTTTCTTCAAGGATGGGAAAGCGCTGAAGGCAGGTTTTCGCCATTTTATACTAGTCTGGCGAGTTGCCAGCTCTGAAAATGAAGGTGGTTTTAACGCTTATGGAAAAATAAATAAAAGAGCAAATGCTTTTAACCGCGTGGAAAACTCATCAAAACTATCGCTACCGAGATATTAATAACTTTTATTCGATATGACGGTTCTACTTAGTCGTCCGTTCGCATTGATTGAGATTTTTCTTATCGGTTTTGGTAATGGTGAAGCTTTCACAAAGATATGTGTAGTAAGTAATTTAAGAATTTTATTTAGATCCTCTACATTGACGTAGTAAGCCTTGATTGGTTAAAGAGAGTTGGCTGATGGATCGTCTATACATACGAATGTTGAGGCTCTGTCGTTGACAAATTTAACCATATAACCAAACTCAAACTCAAAATAACTTCATTCATATAGGTAACCAAGTACACTTATGAACGTCAATAGAAAAGATGTTAAATTCTAACTTTACATTTACTACCAGTTCGCAAGTCAAGGGCGTAGAGCGGACAAGAAGAACTGGCAAGAAACTCTCCGCCACTTTTTTTAATCGCTAAGTTTTGACTCATACAAATTGTTTGTAAGGCAGAGCAGAAATAAATATTTGAACTGGAGCAAATCAATCCCAAGGATTAGGATCATTTAAATTATCATCGAATTTCTAAAAAGCTTTATTGATTAATATACGTTTGACGAGAGTTTTGAATTTATTCAGTGATAATTCTCTAATTTTGCTTGGGAGTTTGTTGTAAAAACGAATACAATTATATACTACATACACCTCGGCGCCCTAAATCACCGATATAAGTATAAAAAATTCCATACAGTTTTTGACATTTCGAGTAGCGGACGGAAGTAAATACCTATCGGAAACTCGATTGGAGGACAATCAAAGTAATCTGGTGCTCTGGCTGATTGGATCTTTGCGGAGACCCTTAAGTGCGGCTGTTGTATAGAAGATGTAAGCTCAATCCTTTCTTCAAGAAATTCTGAGAGAATTCACGTTAAAGTACAACGTTGAATAGTGTGCAAGTAGATTGTCCATTGTGAGCTACGAAATTGATGTGAGCTTTCAAAATCATACAAATATATTTGTTTAGGAAATCTTAATTCTTTATAATATTGAAATGGATTGCGCGCCTCACATAATGTGTTCTTTACTTTATCGTTACACCTTTACCTTTGAATAGATTAAAACAAGTGTAATCCTTTCCTTTAGCCTTGTGTTTTTTTTATTGTTATTATTTTTTATTAGTAAGTTATATCTCCTAAATATTAAATTGTCTACTTATCTCAACTTCCTGCTGTCATGTATGTGTATTTTTGTTTGTGTGAAACTGTTTTAGGATATATCTTAACTTGACAATGTGACATTCTTTGTGTCTACTAAAGTAGTGTTTCCGAAACAATCACAAAAATTTCTAGAAAGAAAGGCATGGTTATGAAAATCAAAAAATACCATTTCAATTATTATTCTGCGGTGCTCCTCGTATATTGGAATCGCATTGACCCAATTCCTAACTGACGCCGGCGTTTTAATGTAAAACGTTTCATTGTTGCCTTATATGGGTTATTAGTTACATAACACATTTTCAAAATTTCGGAAATATGCATTTCACATACTCTTGCAAAGCAATTCTTTGTCCAGGACATCTCAGCTATCAGATAACCTCTATGGATAAAACGTACTGGTCATGTACGCTGAACATATGTATCGAGTGTGGTTCATACTTTGAAATCGAAAAGAACAGGCAGGGCATTTATATTTATATATATTAGAGGCATACATTGTATCTATATGTATAATAACTATATAATCAGAACTGTTTTATTGCGTTGCCCACTATTTAATTAAGTGTAGTAGCAGAATTATAACAAGTATTATTTTTGAAAAGGAAAAAAATATCTTAGTTATTACTCTTCCTACAATACGCGATCTTATTAAGATCCCGACATAATGGATCTTTTGATGTACATTTTTATCGGTTTAGCGGCATGAGCTAAAACGGTAGTACTTTGACATTTGCTATTCAACTGTGAAATAACGTTTCGTATCGAGATGATTTTGTAGGTCATTAGAATATCGAGTTTTTATTACGTAGTAGTTTGCGCTGCTCGGTTCCATGTTTATTGTTGGATTTTTAATGTGTATTAAAATTATTTCATAGAATAGAATTAGACCCACCTTGACTAGGCACCAAAACTGTCTGCGTATCATTCTCTTTCTCTTCTTCAAACTCGAAACAGCAGCATAAAATGTAGAAGCAGTGACGTTATAAATTTATCAAATTCTTGATAGCTTACCACCCCACAGCGCTTCGGAGCCCTGGAGCTATGATGAATATTTCCATTAGAGGAAAGTCCTTATTAGGTGTAATTCATTTGTAAATACATTTACAGACCCGTCTCGTAATGACCCTTTGTAAGTAGCCTAAAAGATTCTTAAATCCTAATTACCTACCGGAATTTAGCTTTATCGGCATTGTGTTATGGCCTTACATTATTCGTAATACAAATAAAATCGTCTCCTAACGAAATTGTCTGTCTCTATCGCACAGTAAAACACCCTTCAAATCATTATAAATTAAATAATTAATTAGAGCTTGAAAAAATTATTTAATTTTTGAAAAACAACCCTTTTAACTTTTGTCAATTTTAATTCATTTTAGAAATTACAACCGCATAGTTATATGAAAATGCATACACTCTTATTAAAGTAGAAAATTAAGTTGGAAGATAATATTCGAAATATTCTGAATTTAAGTGGCGAGAACAGTATAAAAATATAATGAACGCGTTAGAAAAACCGAAAACATCTTAACCCCGTTTGTGGTATGAGTCGGGCTCATTTAAGATGAGGTCAATTATTACGATAGCTTGTGACGTAGCAACTATTTATAAAAAATATATAAAAAAATTGTGACTACGCCCAAAGTAACAATTCCACTTCCAATTTTATTTTTATACTTTGTTTGTAAAATGTAAAAATATAAATGTACTTTACATAACGAGAGTTTTGAGAGCAAGAAATCCTGGCACTGAAACCGTAAAGGAAAATATATTAAATTACTTAAGTACGTAGCGAGATTTTCCCGAAGCGGCTTTCTCGGGAAATCGATTGCCACGCTGTAATACATTCTGATTGTAATTCTGTTTAGAATGAGCTACGAGATTTTTGTGTGCAGCTTCGCTTATAGTAATTTAGTTTTCAATTTTTATTTGGGGTTTCAGTTTAACACAATGTATTACTTTTTTTCATAAGTATAACTGCTGTCAATAACTTTAAAGACTTTTCAGTCATTCCAACAAAGAGCTCTTAATTGCTCTACTTTCAGTCATGTCTTGTATAATCAACTTAGCAAAGCTTTAGGTCGCTCATCGTCGTTAATAGCAGCCTTTAGCAGTCCTTCAACCAAATTGCTTCATCTGTTATTCATGAGAGGACCAAGTAAATATTGTTTCAAATCCGCTTGCAAGATAACGGATTCGGCAAATAATGGATATTAAGTTAAGACGTTAAAGGACATGCTCAAAGGCTTAACTCCTTATGAGGATTTCGAAATTAGCCTCTATACGGTAGAAAGTATATTAAATACTTATGGGGCGTTCGCATATTTGACCCTTTTATAACCTCGTGAAAAGTCGACGATGCTCTTTTGTCTAGTGTTATAAAAGTGCTGAATAATATATTGTGTGGTTAAGTATACGCCATCCTATTTGCAATAATTTCCAATAATTCAGTTCGACCTCAGCAGCGGATGTTATCCTTTAACATCGACTTCCGCTCTGGAAGTTATTTAATGTTATATGAGGTGGCTTTGACTCAATTGAACCTATCGGAAGAGAAATGATAATGCATACAAAAAATACATACATAGCATCAGTCATTATAAATAATACAATACTTAGTTACACAAGGAACAGGTAATTTAAACAAGAAAGCTAATCCTTTCATGTAAGACATTAATTTTCCCGAATAAACACCACCGCGACTATGAGGTAACTAGTCAGTCATAACGCGAGTGTTTAACGAATTGAAAAGCCGTAATCATTGAGTTGGAAAAGTCATCACAGACACTGACTTATGAATACACATACATGCATTCGTTTTTGCACTACCACATAAAATTCTGACGAATCAGTGGCGCGCGCTACTAACGGTTATCAAATTAAAATTAAACCGACGCCCCTGATAGGTCGATACGGAGAGTGCGCGCGGTGTCGCCTGCCCGATCAATACCATCGGGTTACGTAAGTAGACGGCGCCTTGGAGCCTCGCACGCACGAATGTATCGTAAATGGGTGTAAACGACCAGAAACAACTTACACGAATTATAGCACTTTGTTTATAATATGTGGCTTAATTTGGGGGTTTAGAAGTCGTGAGTCGTGTTTTATTTTTGGAACTTTAATTATGGCGGCTTTAACCTAGTTTTTTCAATGGATTTTTTTATTTTTGACTCTTATCTGGTTTATATGGTCCAAAGCTTACCTGTAAATACCGTCTCTGTCTAAATGTAATCTATATAAGGATATCTAGATATCTTTGAATTCTTCAAGGCCTTACAATTTTCGAGTACCTATATTTGAAACTGGTAACCCTAAATAGTAATATAAAACTTGATCAAAATATATTGCTGGCAACTTTATTTTTAGAATAGGTCTTCACTTTATGAGTATGATACGGGGAACGTGTGATATATTTGATGCTTTCCGCCATATTTACAATTTAACACGAGAACAGACATTTGTGCGAATAAGAAAGGTTCACTCCTCGGCGTTTTTCTGGAAAATATTACATGGGGAGCAGCGTTATCCGGAATAACGTCGTTTATCTTTTTATTTACTTCCGCGAAGGTTTTGCGACCACATTCAATATATTACTCCTTTGTTAGGTGTTGGTTTCTTTGAATTTTTTATAAAATATTTTTTCATAAATAGAAAGGCCTACAGGATAAATCTTTTATCCTGTGGATAATAATCGTAGAATTTAGTTGTAAAGGTAGAATGAGAAAACTGTAGACGGCTTGGCGACGTGCAAGAGGAATAGGCAAAATGCCAAATGAATTTACTGGACGTCGTTGTTAGACTCATTCCAATATGACGGTCCAACAGCCTTTTTTTCGATAGTATATTGCATTTTTTATCTCAGACTAGTTTGTCAGAAATAATTTAAGTTATTTTAGCAAGATCTTGGAATACTAATAAATTCCATCGTGTTTGCATAAAACGAAGTCATGTCCATGAAGGACGTTCATTCTCCGACGCTAACGATTTCTTTTGTTGCGTCCAGGGTCTTTTACGTGAACTCTAGTATGTACGGCTTTGTTAAATTCACGTAAAACTCGGCGTAATTGAAGAAATTTAAAAATTTGTCGCTTTGCAACGAAACGACCTTTTTAAATCGACAAGTTGTGAAGTCAGCGGAATGGACATTATAAAAGAGAACAATATAAAGGAAGATAAATGTGTGTTATGACATCGGGTCTGTGAGGACAATAAAACATTAATGGACACTGAAACGTGGGGCTGTGGGAGTGCTCGTAAACAAAGAGCTCTCGACACGTAACAAGCCACTGTGGTCACTGGATATCGACTGGAAATGTTCTGATTGACTTTTAAAAAAGATATAATGTTTAACAGCTAACATGTTTTATTGTTGATGTTGTTATTGAGATACTATATTTGCTTTTAAATTTCAATATTGCTTAAGTCTGAGAGCACCGCTATTTGCACCGAGCTATAAGAATTTCTTAAATTGATGCTTGATGTAATTTAGGCATCTTTTGGGTAAATTGCTTTGCTTGGTGCTTGGTAAGTTTCTTCTTAAGACTATTCTGATTTTTATGAGCCCGTAGATGGCAAGCCTTGGGCTCAGAAATAAATTAACGCTGTTTCTTAGTCTTGAAAATTCCTTCACTTAGATATTATGTCTATGTAACATTTGGAGCAACGA